TCGCCGCTAGATGGCGCCACCTGTACCGTTTTCGACCGAATTCGACAAAAATTGTTTTCCTGGCTTTATTAGGCATCAAAACGCATCAAACCCTAATAGAAATTTGTTTCTAAATGCCTCAGGAACCATACTACGTCGTCAAAGTGCCAAAATATTCATTTTTTTATTTTCCTTATATACGTGTTCGGACCCTCACTTTTTAGGATCAGTTTTTCGGTGATTATTCGTTCGTGGCAAGTCCGATTAAAATTTTTTTTTTCTATGTCCAACTGGATGTACATACGCATGTGCATGCAAAATTTGACGAGAATTGGTTGGGTGGTGCAAAAGAAAAACGTGGACAAAGAAGTTGCAAAGTCAAGTACAAGAGCTTCGCTCGCCTTCTGCTCGCTCGCTCAATTACCTTTACCCCATGAAACTTTGTAATGTAGATTAATTAAAGCACTGAAAGCATCATTCTTACATGCCTAAACACATTTTCGCGGGAATTCACTGAAAAGGTACCGCTAGCGTCATCTATCAGTGAATCGAGTAACTAACGAAATAAATGATAAGATGTGACACGAAAGTGGTAATGGGTCTCTAGAGACCCTGTGGCCAAAGCAACAGAGGCATGAAAGATCTATTCTACATGTGGTCCGTGGCATATATGTTTTTCAAACGTTCATGCACATTCATGTACCAGCAAATTTTGCATATAAACATTTGGCTATTAATACAACAAGAGTTAGTGTAAATAAAAATCGATTCGTCATTTTGATTACTATTAAATACGTGTTCCATCGGTCATTGTCTATTTATATGTTATTTTTTTTTTAATTTTATTAGGGTTACTTATGCATGTAATAAATATATGCTAAATATTCTTCATAGATAATATTGAAAAAATGGCTAATAAAAATGTTATTGTACTTGCACCCAACGGTCGGCGACAAAATGTTAAAGTTACTGCTAACAGTACAATATTACAAGTAAGCAATTAATTAATTGATATAAGTTTTAGTAATTCTGTTATTATTAAATCAAATTCAATTTTGTAGGTACTGGAAGAAGTCTGTCAAAAACATGGGTACAACGTAGATGATTATGATTTGAAGTAAATATTATTTCAAGCACAAATTAATGTAAGATTAATACCAAACTAAATCTCAATCACATTTTATTTATAGACATTTTAATAAAGTATTAGATCCTAATGCAATATTAAGATTTACGGGACTAGCTAATAATGCACAGTTGGAAATGGTACCTTGTACAAAGACACGTTTAAATTCTACTGTAACAATAGGTGTACAATTAGAAAATGGAGAGAGATTAATGGCTGATTGTATGCCCAGTGTAACATTAGATGAAGTTTTAAAACGTGTAGGGCTTGATGAAGATCTTGAAAAAGTTGCTCTAACTTACATGCATCGTGAGGTATGGATGTTAACAAGGATCTAATATATATGTGCATGTACATAGATTGATATGAGTGAATAGCTTTTATTTATACTTTCATATTGTGCTTTAAATGTTCTACTATATCTCAAACTTCATAATCATTCTCACAGATTTATGGAACTGATACCTTAAAGAAAACAACTTTAAAATCCTTAGGGTTAAATAGTGGTAAAGCTGTACTACGACTGATACACAGAAATCCTCAAAAGGTGACTGTTGATGTTCCCCCACCATCAGTGTCTTTAAAAAGTACTGAAAATGTTAGTGCAGACAATAAAACAATGGCATCTAATAAAACTGTAAGTTCTGTAATTCCTGTGAAAAAGGAAGTATAGACATCAGAAGAGTTAGAAATTTGCTTTCAGAGTATAGAAAGGAAAGCAGAAACAATAATAAAGACAGACAAAAAACATGAAGTTCCTAAAACAGAAGAAAATAAGTCATTAGTATCAGTGAAAAAAGATGCCCCTGAAACATTACCCCAAGCATGTCACAAACGGGAAATAAAACATTTATCTGATGTAGAATTTGTAAGATATATTTATACAGTATTTGTAAGCATAGATTTTTTAGTATATATATAATTTTATCTGCTATAGCTGGGTGAGAGAAATGCTTTAGTATTCAATCAAGCTGCAATGCAACCTATATCTAGAGATGAATTCCCAGATGATTTTTACGATTTAACAGTCGATGATGCGAAAGTAATATTGAGAGATGTTAAACGTCACAGAAAAGAATTGGAAGAAGCACCTCTGTTAACGAACGCTCAACGACAATTAGATCAAGAAAAACGAGTGCGTGATCAATTAAATAAATATCGTTATACAATAATTCGCATACACTTTCCAGATCAGTTTACTCTTCAAGGTTTATTTCAACCAATGGAGACTGTACAAATGATAAAAGATTTTGTAAAAAGTTATTTAACTGATCCAAATAGTGATTTTGTAATTTGTAAGTAGCATATATATATAACAAATGTGCAAAATATTTTATTTCCACTTGAACATCTCCAAAAATTCTCTTCATCAGGATTTAAAATTTATTTTGTTTTTAATACATGAATATAAAAATTTATGGATTTCGAGATATTCAAGTAGTAATTTTTAGATGTGTAAATATTCCTTGGAACAGGAATTGTTACTTTTAAGAAACATTAAACATGTTATTATTTAACAGTTACAACTCCACCCAAACGTACTTTAGATCCTACTAGATCTTTAATTAACGAGAATTTAGTTCCTTGTGCTAACGTTTATTATTCTGGACCGTCAACTCTTAAATCGGATGTAAAAGAAAAAGTTACAGATCCTATGAAAGTTGAAAGACAGGTAGCTGAAATTAGGTAATTGAAAATTGATAATTTGTTCGAATACTTATTAGTATAGTAAGACTATTACAAAATGTTTTATATTATGTTAACAGAACATCAATGATAAATCAAGAAGCTGAAATATCAAGCAAAGACACAAAAACAGATAATAATACCCATGGATAATAAATGTACCAATGAATTGTGGACAGAATAAATCGAACTACCAAAATAATTGTGTCCAATTTGTTAGTTTTGAAGATTGTTAACAAAGTCGTGTAATTTATAAAATATTGGGATTATGTAATATTATATTTGATATTGTAATTAAATATTCTTTATAAAATAAACATTGAAATATAATTAATCGTATATATACATTGAACTTTATCAAGTTTACTCCAACATTAATATAAAATATAATTAATCAAGTACTGTGCAACTGCTTATGAGAAAAATAATTAAGTTCTTAATGTATTAATTATATCTTACTTCACTTTTTATGCGCAACAAAGTTATTATTTATGTTAAATTTCTTATTTTCAACATAATAAATATTACACATATATTTATTATATTTGTGATTAGTTGATTAATAAGAATTTCAATTCATTAACAATTATTAATGTACAGGGTGTTTCAAAAATGTTACACATCGTGAGCGCTACAGATTTTACACGTTAAAATAAATCGAGACATAAGCGATTAAAAATCGAAACGTTCCATTCGATATATGCGTTGTTAAGGATCGTGAACAATTATTGAGTAAATAAAATAAATGAAAATGGTATTTAAAATGCTAAATGACATTTCGATGTACAGGTATGAAAAATCTGTAATTTTCATATCATACAAGTTTTTTAAAACACCCTATATTTTCATTTAATTTTCCTACATGAATGTAAAATTATTAACTTTGTAAATCTGGAGGTACCGTAGTAGGCGATTGTAACTGTAAATGCATAAATCGTTGTGCGGGTCCACCTACTATATTTCCAGTTGGTCCTGAACCTCCTGCTTCTTCTTTGATACTTTGGAACAAATTATCTTCTATGGTATCAGAATTTTTATTTGTTTCAAAGCTCTCATCCTTTTGTATTTCTGATTGTAATTCTAAATCTAATAATCGCATATATTTATCCATTTCACCACGTTTATCCTCATCATCTTGACCCAAGGATCCTTCCGAGCTTCCTTCAAATTCTCCCTCGTTTTCGGGGACAACTAAATCTAATATACCTCGTAATGTGCTATCAAATATGTCTGCATCAAATTCTATTTTGCCATTATCTTCTGGATCGTGTATTACATCAGTATCCATTGAACGATCTCTACAGAACAGATAAGAAATGTTATTTATTATCACAATTAACATATTTGAAGAATAATTTATGTAACATACTCTAAGAATTGTACACCGTCGATGTCACTAGATCGATTTAAAAATGTTTGCACTTTTTCTCTTAGACTTAGCGACTCTTGTTCATATCTCTTATTTCTATCATTTGTCCATTGTTCACTTAAGAATGATTCAAATTGTACTGGATCTATGTTTAACCAACTGTCACTATCTGCAGGACTCAATGTACTTTCATCTTGAGCTGTATGCAAGGTATAAGATAATTCAAAACAAATTTATAAAACATTAGTTAATAAAACAGACTAATAAAAATGAATGATGAAATATTGATTAATAAATATTACCATGCAATTCAATATCAACAGATTGTATATTTTCCCATGCTTCTAAAACTTTCTCCGCATCACTTTTGTTATTAACATTAACAACATCATTACATAAATGTTCTAAGTAATACTCTTTTGCTGCATTTTGAAACTTTTTATACTCTTGGCTATCTTTCAATAAATTTCTAAAATAACCACTACTTTCTAAACGTGTTAAATACGTGTTCAAAGCATGTTCGTTTACTTTTAGCTTTTCAGGATCATTGACCACTCTCTTTTCTCTTTTTCTACGCTCTTCATTCGCACGGGCAACTAACATTTCTAACCCACATGCTATCTTAATACCAAGTGTGTGAGCATTATACTTTGGAGAAGTTACTGGTGGCAGGTTCCAGCCTGTTCTGGGATCTCCTGTATATCTACAATGACTTGCCATCGCATATAAACACTTGGTCATTTTTACATTAACCATAACACGTTGTTCAGGCGGAAAATATTTCATAGCACGACAAACCTGCAACATAAATGTACTATTAAATTAACCAAAACTTTAATTGTACCTAGACATGAATAATATTGAGTTTTTACTTTTCTTTCAAATGGATCGGAGTGACAAATTCTTCTAATGGCTAGTGCTACAAATCTTGGTTCTTGACGAAGTATTAAAACTGCTTTCTCTGGTAGAAACACTCTGGCTTTATGATGTCTTTTCTTGATTTCATCAGGATAAATATTGATTCTTTTTCTCAAAACATCCTGTACTTTCTCAGAAGCTTTGGAAAGATATGGTTTTTCTTGTATATTATTTAATAAATTGAACAATGTTTTGTGCTTTTCACGAACAATATGTAATTCTCCATTAGAAATGAACACATGGTTATCACATGTTTCAGGATTAGCCCATGGTGGTAAAACATTCGCAGCTTCAATTAAAAGAAATTCTCCATCAGAATCAGTTACTTTAGCTATTAACCCACCAAAAGTTTGTGTAAGTTTAAATATTAGAAATACTGTAAACCACTCATCACTTATATCTTCATCAAAATGTAAGCATACATAAATATGAGGCAGTATATTAAATTCTGTAACAAAAGAAAGATCAATGTATAATCATTATATTCACAAATTTCCAAACATGTGTGATTTACCTTCCAAAGACACTGAACCCTCAACAAGTTTTTCTAATAATAAGGCCTGTTTTGTTCGAGGACGAAAAATTAATTCACTGCTGTGCCAAATATAATCTTTAACATACGGTGCAATTGCTTCATTAAACTTTTCAATTTCTTGCAACAGCATTTCTTCTGTTACAGTTTCTGGAGGTTTTGTGTAACATATCTTTGGATACAGAAAACACTCAAGAATATCATCTTCCTTAGGTTTAGACATCTTTATATCTTTTCAAGTATTATTACATAAAAATATCTTTGAAACTTCCACAATTATAATTGTGTTCAATATTTTATATCATAATATGTAAAAATATAATGTTCATAAACATTTGTAACGATTAATGAGAACTTTTTTCACAATATTCTGTTCATTAATATTTATATTCTCTGAATTAATAACTGTAATACAGATGTATTTACTGCTCTCTAAAGCACAAGTTATAACGATTTTTATGCGTTTGTTATACTGCACTCACATGCAGTTGGAATTCATATACGTTTGTATATAAACACGCTAAACTTCACTCAGTTCGAAACGATGTGAAGAGGTGGAGTCAGGTGGAGTCATCCACCACCAGATAATAATCTCTTGTTTAACCTAGTTTACGCATTGTAGTTATCGTCATGAAAGAACGTTCTTATTTCGGCGCATCTCGACTGGTTCAGTAGGTTTCCCACCATTTTGTGATGCTTTTGTTCTTTAATTCATAGTCATATACACCCTGGACGAGGAAGAAAAATACACCCCTCTTTCAACAGCATCAATACGTAAGTACTGACATACTAAACTGAGGGCCACCGGATATAATGCACGCAACCACGAACTTTGCAAATGCGCATGCATGGTATCCATGGTTACGGTTATTGTTAGAACCAATCAGAACCAACCTGCGCAGTATGAACGAAAATTTGTCGTTCAAAAAGTATGATCTTCTGTGAAACCAGGTGTATAGAGTGTTTCGCATAAAATGGACCACCTAAATAACTTTTTTATCTTAGGTTTATAAAAAGGAAAATTAAACAGTTACATCTATGACAGAACATTTCCATTTGGTTTGCCTAAGGAAATTGTTTAAATTACGTAAGAAATATTTCTCGATTATTACAAACAGAGCTGTTGCACGAAACGCGCTGTACGTTAAGTTTCGAATGCTCTTTTTGGTACACATTTAAATTGGCCCGGGTAAACTGTACGTTAAACTTACATACAAGTAATATTTTTGAAGTAGATTTCAATTTATTACATCATTTAAGATTTACTATTTTAAGCATTAACTTGTATCTTCTCTAAGAATCGATGTGTGTGTTTCTTAATTTATAAATTATTATACATGAGACTTTTTTTGCAATAACTTAGTAACACATGACATCATACTGACATAATGGATGAAATAACGCGGGAGCGTCCGATGTATACTGCACACATATAAAAGGATTGCATACAGAGAAGAAAAAGAGAAAGAGGGATCGTGGGCACAAAAGAAATACCATGGGTTGAGAGTACATTCTAAACACGTCCTTTTCACTTTCAGGTTAGTGTTAAACAACTTATAAGTATAATCAGTATCGGTCATTTTTAACTTCGTTAATGAAAAAATATGTTTGGATTTCAGTTGAATTGTCATAATGAGATATTTAAACTACATTTTGAGAATTGTTCTCCAGTGTGTCATTTTTATTTCTCATATCCAGTCCGAGATTTCTGTAAGTATAGAAAGATACACGTATTTTACAAAGTATGAGATAACCGAAGGCATTGCTTCTTATATTAAAAACTGAATTGATATGATATAATTCATTTCAAGATTAGTTTTACAGTAATATTTTATTAATCGTTGCACTTTTTTTTATTAAAAAATGTAATATATATGAAATCGTAAAGTTACCGTTACGATGCACGAAGAAAGTGACGTCTTATTATGTAAATGCACATCACAGTACAAATATACATATGTAGTTATGTGTGTAAGGAAGCGGAGAAAGGGAAGCCACGTTAACAATAATAGCGTGGTCGTAAATTTTAATTTGTAACGGAATTAAAAAATTTTTTAATTTGAGAATGTATAACTTTGGAAACTTTTATGCAAGGTATATGAATTATCCGATATTGGTAAAAGGACAAGAGGGAAGTGTTAACGGTATAGTCGTCGTCCAAATATAGCGTGGTCGTAAATGTTATCTATCTATATTCGTCTCCCCTTAACTCAACCCTTAATTATTTTTAATTTATATACTTTTTATATTTTACAGAATACCGTAATTTCTGTGAAGACAGATTTTTCATGTATAAACAAAACTGCTGGTTTTTATGCTGACACTGGTGCTAGCTGTAAAATATACCACACCTGTGATGAATATGGAAATAAATTCACATATCATTGTCCAGAGGAGACCGCGTTTCGACAGGATGCCTTGATATGCGATCATGCACATCTCGTCCGCTGCAACGAATATACTTACAATTCAAAGTACACTGAAGATAAGAGCAGGAATTCATCGGTGAACAAAAATCAGTTTGTATTTCGCGTAACGCAGTCGCCAAAAACAAATAAAATGCGATATGGATTTTCCTTCAGTACTAAGGAATCTTCTAATAATTTTAATAGAACAAAAGTTGCATACAATACAAGGAATTTCACTGCACCGCAGCGTGCGTCTCTCGTAAATAATAGTCAAAATGGCGGATCATTTAAAAATAATTTTGCTGTGAAGCAAACTTTCAACAGCTGGGATAAATTAAATGAGAAAGACCGAAATAATCAGAATTATTTAAATCGCAAGACAAACGATGCTACATACAATTTTATGAAGTTACAACCTCCTAGCGTGAATGCACGAAACCAAGATGGTGGAAAGAACGATCAAACAATTAAAAACGCCACAAATTTTTCTTTCACGAATCATAGAAATTATCCCTATTTAGAAACTCTGAAGTCTATACAAAAGAACGCCCCAATTTCTATCATTACAACCACTACAAGACCAGCGACTACCTCAAAGTCAGTGACCACAACAGAATTGCCTGTATATGCTCTGACGTTATCTTTAAAACCTTTGGTGCCTAGCGAGCTAGAAGATGATCCATATTATCCAAAACTGCCGACCTCAACAGAGTCGTACTACACTCCACACCATAAGGAATGGTCTTCCATAAAAGAAGCAGCTCAAACCACATGGCCAAGTGTCCATTTTGAACTACCATCTATTCTTCCGGATTTGAACTCGTTGGAGGACATTGTTGATCGTAGGAAGCTGTTTTACATTCCTCGAATTAGATCTAATTAATTGTTAAGCATTTTTTTTGTAAGAGGATAATGTAGATAACAATAACATCAATTGAAATAAAATGCACTTGTTTACGAAGTGGAAGAGAAATGTATAGTGAAAGGATGAAAGGTACAGTCAGTATTAGAATGCTTACACACGAGTAGACGGGTATAACCCTTATAACCGTTCGATAAATGTGAGCTCGATAGTTCAATTATTGTTTAAAATACTTTCTATAGCAGCGGATATAATAAAATACATTTAGGGACTTCAAGGTTTGGGAATTTTGAGAGTTAGCAATTTGAAAGTTTTCAAAATTAGTCAAAAGCAAATAGTAGGCTTTCTCCTCATCCGTGTCCTTATGCAAAGGGAATAATACAACAGGAAAAAATGTAACATGTATTGTTTAAAATATAAAAAAAAAATACGTGCGTCTCCTCAAAGAGCATGCTCATCATCATAGTTCATTCATTTTTTCCTGTTAAAAATTTTAACCGCTTAGGATACAATTTGTAGAATATTTATAGAATATCGACGCAGGAACAAGGTAACGTTGAGAAGGCTCGGATTACAATAAACACGTTGATTGCAAGTTTATGAGAAATACGTGAGGACTTTTTAAATGGCCTGACAACAGCTAATGAAAATGTAACAAGATTAACAGAAAATTGATAAGAAAGCATCGTGTATCCTGTATCCCTTGGCAAGCCGCAAGGGTAACTTTTCTTGTTCGTATCGATCGACGCCTGTGCAGTATGCGACCTCGACATGACCGTCGACCATAGTCCAGGGGAAGTAATCATTGTTCGATCTTCTTTCGTTTCGGACCAGTTTGTGCTATTCTGAACTGCGATTTCATTTTCGTAGAATTCATACGTACCTCAGTGCTGAAATTTGCCCCTGAAAAATCCAGGAAGGAGGGAAAGAACTGGGAGAAAAAGGAACAACATCCGGAGCTGTAACACGGTCTTATATCAAAGTAAGATACGGCGGAGATTATATACGCTTCAAAATAATTGACATCTCTTGGCAGAACTACTTATTCCATAATTTTTAATACATAAAGTATTAGGAAACGTTAACACTTTGGGAATTAGAAGACCGGGGAAGTGACCGGAGATGAACACTTTTGAAATGTTATTTTATTTCATAATTATTGTTTTTAAAATACTATAGTTTTGTTACAAAGAAAATGACGTATATTGTCAACGTAAAGAATATTACGGTCTTACCGGCAATATAGCGAGAGTCCACTGTATTTACTTTATTATTACATAAGTAATCCTTAAATATCACGGTGTCTATATTAATGTGGGTCATGTACCTGCACAATTATACAGGGTGACTTTTACTTGATATAAATCAAACAATTTCCAAAGAATGTTAAGATTAAAATGAATCACCCTGTACATCGACAAAGTTTAATATTCAAATTATTTTACAGGATTATTGGTGAGGAACAAAAGGATATAAATAATGATATAGTGTAATGTGTTAAGATACAAAAAGACTCATAACAGAATACGATGATTATCAGATATTGTTCAAGTAATTGGTTATTGTACCAATTACAATTGATGCCCGTGGTAGTGGCATTGAACTTCAAGAAATAAAGGAAACCATCAAGAGATATAAACAAGATGAGGCGTAAGCACATGATTACTGACTTTTCTACAAAGTAAACTGAACTTAATTAGTTAATACTCATGTTTTCGAAATTGGAACGTGATGAATAAATTGTAGATATTTCTTAACCCTAGAAGGACAGTTACAAAAGACTTTGGGGGAGAAAACAAACTTTTTTCACGTCTTGTATTTTTTAAGATTTTTATAAACGTTACACAATTTTTTGCAAGCAACCCCTAACTTCTCTGTCGTCTTTGTAGGGTTAAGTTGTCGATTTTTTGTACCAAAACACATTAAAAATTTTATTACCAGTTTACGATTTGTGACTTATTACATCTGAAAAAATCGTAGAGTGGTAAAAGGATTATTTTGGTACAGAGAATTTGAGACACTCTATATGTTCTGAAATGTTTAACGCCTTAACTGCAGAGCAATATTGGCTAAAGTAGTCTTGATGTAGCTAATTAAGATTCGCATCAGCGAAAAACAAGAAATAAAGAAGTTAAGAACTTTAGTAATGAACTGTTGTATTAATTTGCAAGCTGATAGAATAGCTGATTCCGCTAATGTTAACCGGAAGTTACGAAAGATTCGCTGATATTGAAATACAAATTATCACATTGAGGTAATGGTGATTCTAAAATAATGGAAACGATAATGTACGATTTTTCATAGTTTGTGGGAAAAGCATAGATAACTGAAGCATTGAAAAGGTACGAAAATGTCTGACGGCAAAACAAAACCGGTATCGCCAATACCGTCGGTCGCTTCTACGCAGTGTTGTAATAACTTAACCGATACGCAGTGCCCAGGCCTCCAAGTGACATCACGAATGTTGCGATCGCCGAGTCACGAGAGCGTCACAACAGATCTCTCTCTTTTTAGCGTATCCTCGATAGCGAGTGAATTACGAGGAGTAAATAGACTCGTTACTTTCAAATCGTACACCGACGTACATCTCGCCGGGCGTGGTCCATCACCGAAACCAAACTCACGTCAGATTCAAGCCAATAGGTAACATTTCAATACAATAAAAAATATTTATTAACTAACACTCAAGACCTAACCATCTATTTTCCCTCAAAATCACATTATTGTTTACACTTTACAGGCCAGCAGACATACCTGAAATTCTCTGGTTCGAAGAAGAGAACGAACTAATCAGAAGTTGCGGGGTGCTCTCTTCGGCACTTGGTCTGCGCAAAAGTTTTAGCACAAGCGATGTATCTCAATTACCAAGTCCTGACGCGTCAGGTCCGAATGCGCTGCGTTCAGCAATGTCCGCCCTGGCCCTCGACACTGCTCAAAGAAACACATTGCTCTTGGAACACGCACGACTTGACCATACTTCAAGATCATGTAGCACATGGGTCGCTATCGGTGAGCCGGTAGCCAACACCTCGCAGCTTCCTAGCCCTCACGGAGGTGCTGCCCAGGAACAGAATCAACCGTCAACGTCTCGGTCGGTACCACAACCACCCCCCGCACCGCCTCCTCCGGTGCCGTTTACTGGGGCCGATTTTGTCAGGTCGGTGAATAAGAAGGTCCGCCAGAATTATATACGTCGAAGGTTAGTTGAAATGTTACCTGATATATCCTTTATGCACCATGTCAAAGATGAAAATTAATACTGTTTCTATTGTTTATAGGTTACTAACAACATATCGTGCTTTAGAGCGACTCTCTCAAAGCGAATTCAATTTAGACCAATTAGAAGTTGTAGCAAGTGCAGCACAAACAACTTCTGGAACTACTTTATTGGTCCCCGGAGCAACAGCGACTACCGGAGCTACTTTACCAGGACGAAAGGAACGTAATCACGCGTTGACCATTAAAGATGTCGAAAGAGAACGAGGAAATCAATTATCAAAATATGAAAGAAATATGATGATTTTTAATTGGTTACATACTCTTGATGATACTGCTGTTGTTGACAGCGTAGAATAAATTATATAAAAGAATAATTATAAGTAATATTCATTAACCGTTTCGCTACGTTTATATTTAACCGTCCATTATCAGATTTGAGTAAATGTTGACTCTATCGCAACATAGATCCGGTAATGCACCGATGCAGAAGTGGAAAGAGGAAGGAGTCTTCCACGAACCTAAGGAGATGCCTAGGGAAAATGCAAGATAACTAGAGAGAATTAAAAATATGAAGAAGGATCAAGGGAGAGTACATATGCTAACATAACACCTGTTCCTGTAGATAAAAAATGTGGATAAGGCGAGTGGTGTGACATTCCTTCTTCTTAACTAACCTTCGACGAAGGAAAGCCTAAGTTATACGAGACTGTCGAAAATCTCTTATTTCGACAGTAATGAAAATCAACATCCAGTTAAACCGTTCCTGAATAAAAAATTTGTTAGCTTTTTGTAAAACAAATTTAGAAATAGTTTTAATATACAATATATAACAGTTTCTATCATTGTTTGCCTATAAGAGTTTCATAAAAACTAATTATACACATAATTTTATCTGTGATGTTTTTAACTTCTTCTACTTCAACCTGTGTAAAAGAAATATTTAAATCAGCTTGATGCAAAGTTGGTTTAATAACATCCTATCGACGTACTTGTTTCAAACAATATAGCCATATTTATTGAAATTTAAAAATTATATGGCCTTCAAGAAAGAATTCACAAACTTAGTTTATAATTTTCAATAGTACAAAATCTATTTTTAAAATATAAAATATTATTATAATAGGTCAATTCTTTTGGATTAAAAGAAAAGAATGAATAGCTTCCAAAATAAAAGTTCAAAGGTCTGAAACTCGGAATACGATGACTTAACCCTTTCCTTCCCCTAATTTCACTAATGAATTAAAGCAGACTTAGTAATTTAAATAATATTAATTTTTTATTCATGATGTACTGTTACATGTGCTTAAATGCTACAATATGGAAATTAAAAATTAAATGTAAAAAATGATATTGAATTAACTATCTTTTACAACTATTTCTTTCTAATTTATATAATCTAAATAAAATATTTTTCTTGCATTTAATGCTTTTATTTTAATAAAAGCTAAACACTTCGTCACCCACTACCAACAATTCTTTGGATATTATTTAAAATATTTTACAAGAAAGAATCATGGAGGGGTTATGAACAGTCAATTAAATATACATATTACTTAATGATAATTTAATCTGATTCTGACCCTGAACTGACATCTGATTCATACTCTCCTACATTGATTGTAAATTTGTATTCCTGATCACATCCCAAATAAGCATCACTCATGAAGTATAAAGTATAGGAATGCTGACCAGGGGCAGGTGCTACAAAATCAAGTTTGACCTTTGCTTTCTGTTGCAATGTTAACCTCTTAATAGACAACAAGGAATTTGTCTTTGGATCACCGATGACAACCCACCACCCTTCTTCACGTTTCTGTGGGAAGAATGGTGCAACCACTGGACCTGTGACTTCATCTTCTCTTTCAAGTTGAACAATAACATTGACTGCACCACCACTGCGCAACTTATCTTTGTCTTGAACTTCATATGACATTTCTATATTCGGATACCGGTTACAGAATTTGGCAACATCTGCCATTTGTGCTTCTGATAATTGTAAGAGACGATTCCTATCATCATCCTCTAATTCCATCACATCAAATACTGTTTCCACTCCTTTGTCAGTGCAACGTTTGATAGTTTCAGCACTGAAGTGTGGCAACTGCTTCAGGTAAGAGTCTTTGGACCACATTGCTTGAGTGACCATCTGTGCCAATTCCATAGCAGCTACTGCAGGAGCTAACCAACCAGATGAACTGAGAACATCGACACAAGCTTGTATCAGTCTTATAGCTTTGCTCAATACCAATTCTGTATCTTTCTGAAGTTCAGGACCAAGTTGTATCCTGGATAAGTGAGCCTGTAACAAAAGTTGTGCTTTCACATGAGGATCAGCCATTCTTGTAGCTTGAGGCGCATGTGGAAGTCTTGCTGCTAAGCTCCTCAACAAGTTTTCTTCCCTTTGCCGGACTGGAACAGTTTCATATTCAGCTGCTGCTGAGATAATTTCTAATAAACCTCTAATTTTGGTTTTGTTATTTAAAGAAAGGCTGAATAATTCAATAGTTGCATAATTTATGTAATAATAAGCTGCAATCATTCCAAGATTCAATGGTAAAGTATCCATCTCATCTTCCACTGCAACACATTTCGCTTGTTCCAGGTCACTCAAGGTACTCTCAACCAATTCAGACAAATGATCTGATAGATGTCTGTGTGTGACTCCCTGCAAACCATAATAATTAGGATTTTGTGTAAGTCGCCTGTATAAGAATGTCCACGTGAGATAATCAACAGCGTCCTGTTTATTCTCAATTGTTTTAGTCACAATTTCTGCATTAAAATGGTCGTGTAGCCTGTGATCCAAGTGACTTTCCACAGGTAGAGGCTCGTTCAAAAACTTTTTGAAGAAATCTTTCTTTGAACTCTGGCAAAGGAGAACACATTTAGCATCATCATCCTCCAGAGGACGATTAGCACGTGCTACCATTTGCAACACATCAGTAATAGGATAATCTTCATAAGCATGTGTTTTCCCATTATAGCATTGAGTATCCATAACGATTACAAGATGTGAGGTAATGGATAAACCCCAACAAAGGTCTCTTGTGGCAACCGCTATTTGTATTGCACCACTGTCAAAGAGTTGCTCAACGAGTCGACGATCATCCGCGGATAATCCTTCATGAAGATAAGCCACTCCTTGTGAAAGTGTTTCTTTTAGAGTTTTATCAGTCATTCTATCCAAGAACGGCTTAATGTCAGCTTCTTCCGCGTGGAAGAACCGAGAAGGTTGTCCTTCTGCAGCTGTGAACGTCAGTAAATCTATAGCTGTTAATCTGGCCTGACGACGAGTGGGCACAAAACAAATAACAGGTTTATGAGATGCGTATCTAAGTACTGCATTGTACACTGGTTTGGCCATAGCAGCCAATCTGGATGCATTGTGGGTAATGTTTATTCCCTGCACATGCAATTCTAATGGTACAGGCCTAACAGATGGATGGAAGTTGAAAGTTGCTGCAGCGGGTGCACCTAACCATTGTGCAGCATCTTTTGCATCAGCAAGCGAAGCTGATAATGCAATGATCCTCGTTGGTTTGTCTAGTTGTGAAGAAATATACCTTGCTCTTGAACATGCTACTTCTAACACAGGTCCCTCTTCACCGCCAATTAACTGCAACTCATCAACAATAAACAGTTGAATATTTTGTACATTTTTTCTTTGTTTCCATCTTCTTGACAGGACATCCCATTTATCTGCAGTTGTAATTATAATTTGACCTTTTGCAAGCAGTTTAAGATCCGTTCCTGTTTCACCAGTTAGGAGAACCACTTTTCTGCCTAATTGCTGATTAAACTTTATAGACCAGTCGACATAAATTAGCTCTGCTAAAGCTTCTTTACTGACCATATATACACATCTACCCTCTGGATTCTGAGTAAGCAAACGTAACACTGCAAATTCTGCAATAGTTGTTTTTCCAGAACCAGTGGGAGCTCCAACAAAGACATTGTCGTCTGAATTATAAACTGCGTTAAATACTTGCGTCTGAATCGGATTGAATTGTGGAAACTTGTCTGCATAAATGTTTTCAAACTTGGAATTACGTAGAGCAGTAATTGGAAGCGGTTGTAAGTCGAGCAATTCAGTTGGTGGTAAATTCTTCTCTGGTAAAATCAAATGTCGGAAACTAACAGGTAACTGGGTTTCTGCTCCAATCCACCTGTTTGATACAACACGCAGGAAATATTGTGGTGGCAGAGGTTCAAATACAGGTACAAAGAACTTGATCAAATGTTCATCTGTTGCATATTTAGCTTTAAGTAAAAAGTATTCATGATGAAGTATTACTTCAGAATCCACATCTTCCACTAAAATCCAAAATGCTTCTGATGCACCATGCACTTTATCATCCCACTGGAAATCAGGTGTGATGGTTAACTCAACTCTTAAAGTGGACCGTGTAATTGGCTGAATATGAGTTGATAATTCTAATTTGGGAAACTGGTGAATATATTTATGAATAGTTTTGCCCAGCTTAGGTACTCTGATTAACTCTCCAATTTCATTTGGTCCTAAATCATATAATCTTTCCCAAGGAAAGTTCTTCTTCTCTATCTTCTTCACAATCTCTTCTGGCATCTTTCTGAACTGTCTGAGAGGTGACATTGACTGCCACATTCTGCGGTCAATCATTTTACACAAAGACAGACATTTATCTGCCAATTGCGCCCAGCCACGAAACAAGACAATTTCAAATATTGCTCTCATCAGTCGCGATGCAGATTGAGTGACGAATACCATGTCTGACATGAGGGCGAATCCTTCCAGTTTCAACTGAGAGATGTATGCTTGCAAAAGTACATTGACTTTTGCGCTCGGTTCCTCTATGCTTTCTTTCACTGGAATTGGTACTCTTTCCATCAGTTTTTGCAACTCCAGTTTCTCTTCTTCCCTGACATTTATGTGTTTAAACTCGCTAGACAATGAAAATACTCTGAATAATTCGATTTCGCTTAGAGTTCGTTTTAAGAGCTGATTATATATAGACATAGTGTCATGTGTACAGTAATAATGTGATGCTATCCGACCTAACTCGGTAGCCTGGAAATTTCCAGATTTTCTGTCATATTTGATTAAACCACTGCGATCCAATCCTACCGCAGCAGAATGAATAAGATCTGCTCTATGTAATTCAAGCAATGGATCTTCTTTCAATTTATCATGATTAATACCATATAAATTCGGACACCGAAGCATTCGAATGTACAAATAAGTGTATCCTAACCAGGTGACTGCATCTCTGATATTTTGTATGGTACCCAGTACAATTTCTGCATTCAACATGTCTGACATTTTACTGATTAACTGCGATTCGATAGGCAACTGTTGATTCAAAAGAGACAAATAATACTGCAATTCGCTGTGATTTGTAATGAGAATACCTTCACCTTTAGTGTCATACTGCGGACGTCCAGCTCTGCCCAACATTTGTAGTACATCCAGAGCGCTTAGTTCAACCCATCTACCTTTTTCTGGATTGTACACCTGAGTTCCTTTGATAATAACTGTGTGTGCAGGTAAATTAACACCCCATGCTAGAGTTGCTGTGGACACCAAAACTTGTATATGCCTGTCAGCAAACAGATCTTCAACCAGTGTTCTGTCTACCCTTGTCATACCAGCATGATGAATTGCGAAACCATAAGGTAGCAGATCTTTCAGTTCTTGATTTTTAACTTGCTCAGCTTCTGTTCTTAACACTTCCATGGATGCAGATCCTTCTCTAAGAAATTGTCCCAATGTGTCCTTTTCTAAACACATGTCTCTGATAGCACGTGCCGTTTTGCCAGTTTCTTTACGCGAATGTACAAAGACCAGAACTTGATTTCTCCCGGCATGTTCCATAGTTTTTTCATACACAATTTCATTCATCACTTGGAAACGTTTTAAAGCTTTCTTTTCTGTTACACCAATATATTGTTGCTCCAAAGCCACAGGCCTAAAGCTGTTGTCAAAATAAAATAAGCCTGTCTCTGGTTTTATGCGTAAAAATGTGGCAACATCTTGATAATTTGGTAATGTAGCAGAAAGACCTATCAACCTTACGTCTTCCTGTGTTGTCTCAATATTTCTGATCGTTCTCGCAACTAACGCTTCTAAAACGGGACCTCTCTCGTCATGTAACAAATGGATTTCATCAATGATAATCAATCTTACCAACGAAGTAAAGGTTTTCTCGCCTCCTTTTCGTGTTATGATATCCCATTTTTCAGGAGTGCACACAATAACCTGAGTTGCAGCTATTTGTTCTCTTGTTAGCTGATGGTCACCAGTTAATTCGGACACAGTTAAATTATATGTAGATAACCTCTTACTGAAATTTCCAACCATTTCTTGTACCAAAGAACGCATAGGTGCGACGTAAATTATTTTGAATTCATCAGCGTTAATTGTGCCATCTGCGTTTATATGTTTTCCAATCTCGCGCATCATACATAAAAGCGCAACATTGGTTTTACCAGCACCGGTTGGTGCACACAACAGCAAATTTTCGTCGCTTTCTAAAGCAGCTTGATGTAAACGACTCTGAATTCGATTTAACGTTTTGAAGCCTTCAAAAGCTGGCTGCACATATTTTGGTAACTGATCAATTGGATGAAGCTTTTCATTTTCTGCGAATGGTTTTGGTTTTAATGCAGGGACATGGACTTCTTCGTATCTGTAGAAAGATATAACAATATACATTTTTATAACATTTAATAAGTATAGATATATATATATAATACATACCCCTTTCGCTGTTTCCTAAAACTTCCGTCAGGTAATTGACACCGTTTGTTTGCCATAAAATGACTGCCTTGTGCAAATATCAGGTCTTCCAAATCTATTAAATTTCTCGTACCCTGCACCTGACCTCCCGGACCTCCAGTATCTTCATTTTCTTCTCTTCTTTTGCGTTGAGCTCTCGCTTCCATTGTTTCATCGGCATCATCGTCGCCTTTTCCTGTATCCAACTGTCGTAAAATTTTTGCTAATACAGGATCATCGTTCATTTTATTTCGAATTTTTTGACGCTCAGATTCAGATTGTGAAGATGCCAACATAGTACAATATGCAATTGTATGTCTATATTTCTTTAGTTGTTTGATAAAATCGAAACAATCATAACCCAATAAAAGTACTAATTGATTTTCACAGTCACGGTCATCTCCGGCATCTTTCAAGACCGCTAATACTTCAGCAGCTCTTGCTTGTGAAATCATCGCATCGTCGTAGATGCGGCTCAATCTTCTTTGTAACCAATATGCATCTATGTCTAAAGGGTGCAATGGTTTTTCCTTTTTCATTTCTTCTGCACCACCTAACTGAAATATAAAATTAATTGTTGTACGAAAATTTTACATTTTGAGATAAAAATATATATATTGTATGCTTACATTTTCAGCATGTATAGCTCTGTCATCATTAGCTTCTTCACCTTCATCACCCTCATCATCATTTTCTCTAACTTCTCCATAAACATCTTCATCATCTTCCTCACTACTTTCTTCAAACTGTACATTAATTCCATATGTTTCATCAATATTCTCTTCATTTGTGGTGCCCTTTTCATCGCTTCCAAAGTCTGTGATTTTCTTCCCAAGATTAACCAATAGTGCAAATCTTTCTTCTGCTAATGTACCCAATAATAGTTCTGTTTCTTTCTTCTTTTCTTTCTCTTTAAGACGATCATTTTTTAATACTGCTAATACTTCATCAGCTGCACCACAAAGAATATCTCTTGGTTGATCCCCTAATGCTTCCTGAATAAAACTTAGTAACACCTCATAAGTCTGCCGTGTTTCCTGAGTTTTAGGACGATAAACAATCCCAACCATTTCATCTACACCTTCTGAAAGGAGTGTTGCACCCTTCATTCGGGCAAAGTCATATTGTGCCTCGTCTCGTTTCTGACGCCTAATGAAAATGAAAAAAAATGAAGTTCGTATTCTATTGAGATAAAAGGAAATACGGTAAGTACTTACTTGACTTTTCGTTCTTCCGCTTTTCCCGGTTTAGTACGTTGTGCTCTATCACCCATTCGTGTTCCATCAAGTTTCCCAACAAGGGACATAACCTCACCGGTGGCTTCATCTCTGCTACGTCTTTCTATTAAACGTACGTCAGCTTGTAAAACGAGATTGGAGTTCTGGAATCATAAATTAATTACAAAAATGTAATTAAAGAAGTGTAACATTATTTATACTCTCAATATTTACATAAATATAACCTATATTTCGTATTGAATCGTTTTGCAATTGAAATAGATTTATGTAAAGTAATAGTAAAATTACAAACACAAAATGTTTTGTAATCTATTGTAATATTATTAGATTAATTAATAAATATACTAACAGCTTTATATTCGTATTGCAGTTGCCTCGCTGCAGCGTCCGCCATTCTCGCCTCTTATTTCGTAGCACTTTATGGCGGCAGTGACCATAGGTTGTAGTCACTGCTAACATCCAGTTACCTCCCTCTGACAAAGTAATTACGATTAAATAGATAACTACTATGTTGTACCACAATTATTGACAATTGGTAAAAGATAAACGGGTAAAACAGATAGGGTTGTCGATAAGTACTGCTACTTTCTATCTAACCAACATCAGACTCCAAATCCATGACCCTTCGAGAACAAAGTATGCATAGCTTGTCATATCTGTAGTTACTGCTTCGTCCGTGGTAACATAAATACAGAAAGTTGTAAATAGAAGAAACACGAGGTTTCTAAATAAATTAGGAAATTATAAGATTGTATATACTAATAATTAAAAAATGGAAGAAGAGAGCCAGAAAGCAGACGTCGAGGAGGAAAATGCAAATGAAATGACTTGGAAAGATTTGGTACACTTCAACATCTCTGTCACAAAAATATAACCTAATCATAATACGTTTCATATGTTTCTTTTTAATCTTCATAGAATAAATACAATGTAATGCTATCAATTTACAATAAAGATAATTCTTTTTCTACATTAACTTAGTTAAATTTCATATTTATAAATAAAGTATGATATTTTAAGCATGTATTATAATGATTAGGTTATCATAACCTTGTACATATTATATTTACAAAAGTAAATAGTTAACAATTTGTACAAAATATTTATAGGGAATTGTAGATGTATTATGTAAAGCTTGCGAGGATTTGAAATGGAAATCACCTACAAAAATTCAACGTGAATCTATTCCATTAACATTACAAGGTAAATTTTATTAAAAAGGAAACACATCTATTGAATATGTAGCATTTAAACAATGTTTGATAAAAAATTCATTCAATTCATTTATTAGGTAAAGATATAATAGGATTGGCAGAAACTGGTTCTGGAAAAACTGCTGCTTTTGCACTTCCCATATTGCAAGCACTATTAGAAAACCCTCAAAGATACTTTGCTTTAATTTTAACACCTACAAGAGAGTTAGCATTTCAAATATCAGAGCAGTTTGAAGCTTTAGGTAATAAACACTATTATTTTATTACGTCAATCATTTAAGATAGATGTTACTATACATAGTCTTTTTACAATTCAGGCTCAAGTATTGGTGTAAAATGTGCAGTAATAGTGGGAGGAATGGATATGATGTCTCAAGCATTAATATTAGCTAAAAAACCACATATTTTAATTGCCACTCCAGGCAGATTAATTGACCATTTGGAAAATACAAAGGGTTTCAATTTACGTTCTTTGAAATTTTTGGTAATAATTTGGTAATAATTTACTAATACTTTAACATTATTAATAAAGTAAACATGTTCATTATTTAAACATTAAAAGGTCATGGATGAAGCAGATCGAATTTTGAACATGGATTTTGAAGTCGAGGTAGACAAAATTTTAAGAGTAATTCCTCGGGAAAGAAGAACGCTATTGTTTTCGGCAACAATGACTAAAAAGGTTCAAAAACTACAACGAGCGTCTTTGCGAAACCCCGTCAAAGTGGAAGTCTCTACAAAGTATCAGACTGTTGAAAAATTACAGCAGTATTACATATTTATTCCAGTCAAATTCAAGGTTTAAATAATTCGCTGAATTCTTAAGTTTTATAAAATTTTCCGTTTTATAATGAGTTCTTACATTTCAGGATGTATATCTTGTACATATCTTAAACGAACTAGCAGGTAACAGTTTCATGATCTTTTGTGCTACTTGCAACAACACAGTTAGAACTGCTCTTCTTTTACGGAATTTGGGTTTCACCGCTGTTCCTTTACACGGACAAATGTCACAAAATAAAAGAATAGCTGCTCTCACTAAATTCAAGGCAAAAAATCGATCTATACTTATTTCTACGGACGTTGCCAGCAGGTAAATGCGTTATCCAATGTATTCGATTACAAAAATATTGCTTCTAATTTATAATTATACTTTTTTCCTTACAGAGGTCTTGATATTCCTCATGTAGATATTGTAATAAATTTTGATATACCTACACACAGTAAGGATTACATACACAGAGTTGGACGTACCGCACGTGCAGGTCGTTCTGGACGTTCCATTACATTTGTAACACAGTACGACGTAGAGTTGTATCAAAGAATAGAACAATTGATATCAAAGCAGTTACCCTTGTACCCCACACAAGAAGAGGAAGTAATGGTACTTCAAGAAAGAGTAGCTGAAGCGCAACGTATTGTAAAAATGGTATAGCAAATTTCTTCCCATTCGATTTAGTTATTGGTTAAGTACAGAAAAATAAGAAAAACATTATTATGTTGTTTCAGGAACTGAAAGACATCGAAGAGAACAAAAAATCAGGCAAAAGAAAGAAACATCAAGGCGGTGACGAGGACGATGATACAGAGCAATCCATGGGAGTCAGGAAAAGAATAAAGGGGAAACATAAAGGGAAAGGAAGAAAGGGTTGAATAGTATAACCACCTTATCACCACATTTACTCTTCCTTAATAAATAATGGAAACGCAAAATGGTATCTGTTTTTATTTTCATTGTTATTCGTTTTATTTATAAATCAGACCACCATTCCCCTCATATATGTTCATTTCAAACTCACACTTTGTATTAAAATCCTTAAGTAACTGTCAATTTACAAAACCACATTTTACTCCCTTTTGCAACTTTTTTTTAAATATCTATCTTTTATAAAATGACGAGAATGGATCTCATTAATGATAACCGCTGGTATGAATTTATCACTATATAACTAATGAAACTAAATACTTTTGTTCAAAACACTGTAAAATAAGAATAATTACTTAAAATTGAAAAAATCAGTGTTCTGTTGTAATCATTTTTTTCAATTTTTTCTGATAACGAACATCGTCGCCCAAAAGGGAACAATATAAAGTATATATAATTAAAAATCACAATCCTTCAACCATTATCATTTGTAATATGCAGCACTATTTGTAAATATTAATAAAAAAAAAAAAGAAAAACAAAGGCATAACTCCTTAAGCTGCACAACCAATTTAGTTTTCTACTTGCACGCTTCTACCTAGATTACAAAGCAGAATCTTGTTTACCAGAAAATGCAAGACAAAGATTAGCATTTAATATATTGAAAGAGCAGTAAAACATTGTAACAAATATAAAAGTGTTATGTACAGCACACTGTTGTAAAATTTGTTAAATTTTTCTTTTCCAAACCTTCATAGAAATCAGAAATTAGCATTGTACAGGTTCTCATAATACAAAATATCCAGGAACAGCACTGTTCCACTGTAATTTTATGATTATAATGCAACGTCTAATATCTACGATACTATTCAACTGTATAAAGTAGCAACAAATTCTTATGTTATTTTTTCCTGCATATAATATTGAATGCTTGCATCTTTTCTTTTAATGTATCAGATATTGCAAAACGAATCTCGTCAAATGTGCACTAGAGAATAATGTAGTGCTGCATAAAGTGACAAGTTCTTCATTTAAGTTGTATCTAGCTCCACGTTGCAAGTTATGCTAACTAAAATACTGTGATATAAACTGTAATTCTTATTGACCTAACTTTTGTGAATATATCATCAACAAGCAATGACACCTTCGATACGTGTTCAGTTATCGAGCACTGTTGAAGGATCATTAGTATCGGATGGTGCATAACTGTGTTGCAAAGTTTTTGCTGAACGTGTTAAGAACAATGAAATTCTGAAGCACTCTGCGAAATTGTAAATCAACATTTACCGCAACACCTTTTGCTTTTGAAGAAATACGATCATCTCGACACAAACATTGCCTCTAAATTAAACGTATAAAAGATCATGGCTAGGTACTATCATGCAAATATAGAGGTTGCCGCAAATCTGATTATAACAGGAGTATCTGTTTAAAATACATCTATTCTTTGTTCACTAAGTTAATCACCATCCTAACGCTAAGTCAATTGGATGAGAAATCTCAACTGTTTTTCATTTTATTACTACTGGATGCAATATGCCTAATCTCGTTGTCGAAGGCTTTTGTAATGACGAATAGCGCGTGCAAGCGATCACTTCAGTCTCTGAAGCAAAACTTTGTCTGAAATTATTTATTCCAAATGCCGATACTGCCTCGCATTCATTTAACTAGAAACATCTCGGAGATTAAAGAAATAGAGAAATATACACGTATGTACATATCGAATTGCTTATATTATTTCTTCTTCTTTTTCACTTTTTGATCAGAGATGTTTCACTTTTAGTAGCACCGACAATTTATAATAAATAAGTTCGTACAATATGGCTCTATCTCTCATTCGCTCTCTCTTTCTCTCGCATTTGTCTTTTTAATAATTCATAAATACATATGCACAATAATTATCACGAGTCGCCGTTTGACGAACACAGTACGTTGCGCGTAAAAATTGCTCAAAAAGAATAGAACAAAAAAGGAAAGAGATTAAACCACAACTTCAGAATCGACAAGAAATACAACAGGAAAGTAGCCAAGATGCTACCTCTGATAACACGTATTGAACGTGTTGTCAACTTTAAAGACAAGTTCGAGCCTCATTTGTGTTTTCACGTCAGAACATATCTATAAGTAACCTGGTTCGAGGGCAGAAAAATCTAATGGATGGAATGTTCTGAATGCAAGGTGTTAAAGACGTGTCAGATGTGACAAAAATTGAAACAACTTAGGTTTCATTTAAATGAGAAATAAAATATATTCCATAATATTATTATTCACTATTTCTACACATTCTGTACAGTAATTCAATTTAAGGGTTTTATACCTCAATATACTTTATACAAAAAGGCTACTTATAATCTAACATTAAGACATACCATAGCATGAGCGCCCTCCACCTTACCGCCAAACGGCAGATGGGCCGCACGCATGTTTGTACTGGTATTACAGAGTCAGTCGCCAGCGAGTATAACTTCTTCCTCTTATATCACACACCACACACTAAAATGTTAAAAGTGTGTCTCTGGTGCCACTCATATCATTTTTTTTTTCTTTATAATTACAATTTACTGTCCCCGATAAACTTACTCCATTTGCTTGATTAGTTTTGCATTATTTTGTTTCTTTCGATTGCGCAATTCATTTTTGCATTCTGTTTCTCGAAAAGAAATATATAGGGGGTGATTACCGCCGCAATGTCAAAATATAATGAAATATTTTCATTGCCTGCTATGCATCAGCTTTTTTGCTTTCGTTTTTGTTTAGTTTTTCTTTTTCTGAGATACTTTTTACCAATAAATAAAATTATATTTTGCGAAAATATAGAATTGTAAAAAATAAAATCTGTCTTTTCGATTTTTTTTTTTGATAATACCGGTACAGAAATAGTGCATTTCGGAGACTTCACAAGCAACAGGACTGTTAGTTCAGATCTCTGTCCTCTAAGTACTTGTACTCAAAAGTAAAGCCTTCCTTTTTTCTTTGTCCCCACTTTTCATAATCAAAATAAATGTAGGTTCCCTAAAACAAAAATTTACATAAATTCCTGTTACGAATTAAATTCATATCGCTAATTTATTTATTTATATTCATCAAATGTTACTAACCTGTTCATATTCTTCATTAATTACTTTTGGTTCTTCGTGCCTTTGAAACCACATCATATATTTTGTATGAAACCTCCAACTTTGTTTCTTTAGAGCTTTCGCAGCCAAGTACTGGCCTTTAGAACCTTCCATGTAATAAAATATGAAGAATAATGTTTCGGTAGAAAGACGTTGGAAGAACTCTACAGTATCGGAGTGGGGAAGTTGGACCTGACAAATACAGTAAATATGTGAAAAAATACAAAAAAAAGAAAAATAAATAATAATTACATTACTGTAATGTCTTTAAAGAGTTAATTCTACTCCGACGGCTAAAATATTAAGCTGCTGTTAAAATATTTTATTTACTTATTAAGGTAGCACGATAAATAATTTATTGAAAATAATAATAAAAAATTAAAAGATAAAATTCTGAAAAAAAAAAAAATGTTCCTAATAACAGTTTAGTTTTTTTAGCCGGCAAGATAGAATGACCCCTTAAAATACGAATGACCTAAGATCAAGCAATAATTCAATGATACCTGTTGATAATAAGGAGGCGTTGGACATAAATTTCTTGGTAAATATGATCGTAAACGTTCAGAATCAGACGGATGAGGCATATGGTAATAAGCGGCCTCCATCATCTGGAACTGTAGCTGGTGTTCTTTCTGAAGAGGTACCGGTCCGAGCGGCGCAACACCAAGCAAAGGAGGAATGTGTGCTTCCGAAGTGGCATTGTTGTTATTATTGTTCGCTTTTGCACTGTCAAAGATGTTTCTATTCGACTCGGACGGTGGTATTTCCAAATCTGCTCGGACAATTACTTGTTGGGCTATAGATTTCAAAGAGGACATGCCATCAGGAAGCTTAGGAATAAGACCATTGGCAGTGGATGGCGCTGGCGAGCAGGAATTTGCAGGCAGAGGTGAAGACCTACTGCTAACTGATGATTGTGGCGAAGATGACGGTGGGATCGGCGTAGTCATTTCAGTTTCACTGTTGTGATTCTGATTTTGTTGATTGTGCAATACATGTGTCGTTTGTATGGGCGCCGGATTATTGTGCTGCTGCGAGATCGTTTGTGGCACATTCGAGGTAACACTGGACGTAGATGATGATGACAACAAACCATTTTCACTGCTATGAGCTGTAAACATACAAATCAATCATGAAACTTCTGTATGTATCATTACAGAGTCATTACTTTGACAGATTACTTACAAGATGTTTTACTAGAGGTAGAATGGATGGCTTGCGAATTACTGTGTGAAGCAGCTACTGTGGCGAAGTTGCCAGCATTGGTTGTAGCGATGTGATTACTTGTAGAACTAGGCGAGCTATGGCTAGGTGTCATGGGAATGGTCTTGCTTGGAGTGCTGCTCGATAATAAATTCGATTTTATGGTGGCAGTGCTTCCCGTGGTTGGAATGCTCGCCTGTGAATTTAGTAGCGGCCTGACTGCTGTAGGTTTCACAGGCTGAAATTTAAAAATCAGATAAAAATTAATTAACCATCGAATTCACAACGAGGAAAATATCCAACTGATCGAATTGCTGGACCGGAATTTAAACCTAATTAAGCTATTTAAATCGTCGGTGAATAATCGCTCCTTAATCTTCTACAGTTTATACGGATGTTTCCCGGAAACTTTGGAACCTGCATAAAACTACACACCTTCGTTTTTTTGTCGTTATCTGTAGAACTATCACTTGAATGGTTATGCATTGTGGAACTTAATGGAGGTGACGGTATGGGCGAAGTACCAGAGTTAGTTGAGGTTGGTGTTCCTCCAGTCTCATTACTATTGTTACTATCTGTAGTTGCCGATGAGGGAATACCAACTCCAGACAACTCTACTTCATCGAGACCAATAATATCATCATAAATATATTCATTTTCCTCGAAATCAGGTTCTTGCGAGGATTCGATGTAATACTCTACATCGTCTTTTATCCTCTTAATCTGAGCAACAAGAAACAGAAGTTAAAGAACCATATGGTTCCAATGTGCCGACGATATCGTAAAATTTCGATCAACTAGCGTTCTGTTATTCTATCAACATACTTACAGTGTTAACTTCAACAGACATATTGTCTAACATACGCAACAATGTTTCCAATTTACGGATATGGTAACGATGTTTATCAAGCTTTGCTTTCAATTCGTCCATCCTATCCTGCTTATCTTTATCTAACCTTTTTTTCTTCCCTGCGAGTAACGACTCTATCTCGGATTCAAATGTATCCAGCTATATTTAAATTAATTATGGACACGTTACTAGTTACACAACAATATTCTGGGGTCTATTTAAGCACCATCCTCCATTTCATACCTGCAGATTTAAAGCATCTATGGAATTTGCCAGCCAATTGCTAACTTCTTCTCTTTCTTTTTGAGCTGGATCGAGTTTTTGAGCTGCTCCTAATCCTTCCTTAGAATATGCTTTTGTTTTCGTTTCTCTCTCCACAACTTTAAACCTTTCCATTTGCTAAAAGAATACATTATGTTTAATATATTGTATATATTTTTACAAACTGAGTTCCTTCATTAAGGTATACTCACAGTTTCAATTAACTTCCTGTATTCCAGGAGTGTACTTTTATCCTTAATCTCACCTGACGCAAGCCAGGTTTTGATCTGATCACGTAACCTTTGAAGTTTTTTGATTTCCTTTTTAAGGTCTGCCTCATATTTCTCTTTCTGATTGCTGTTTGTAGCATTATGAACCTTCTGCCAAATGTCCTCAAAGGTCTCTACACCCTCTGTTACTTTTTTAAGGCACCGATCTATTTCACCTAAAATTTAAAACACATGTATAATAAGTTAAGATAAACATATTATTAATCATATAAACAATACATATTACTACTACTTACTTAAAACAACAACAAACAACTATGTCAAGAGTGTGCAGATAAATTAAGCAATTTATGACAAAAACTGGTCAATTTATCGGAATAAAAGTAGAGTAAAGAGTAGAATAAAATAGGAATCAAATAAATTGATTATAGAAAGTATCACACAAGTCATTTATCCAAATGTTTTTGTTTAGTTTCTTTAATGCAGCTCATATAATAAATTATGTTCTGTATGTTTCAATATTATTTTGCTATATACACAAGACTTAAACTCTATGACTGATCCAGTTATAAGAGTAATGGGTGCAATAAAACATGATAAATAATAGTGAGAACTTTTTATTTTTCCATTAAGAACTTTTTTTAAAAACTGTTGGTAAATTAACAAAAAACTACTGGTAATAATACATCTTAATAATTTACTAAGCGTCTTATACTAAGAGGCTTACATTAATAAACGCTGTACATATGCTGTATTTTCTATCGCTATACTGTGTATCATACAAATAAAATGAAGAGGTGTTTTACAGGTTATGCTGACATAAGAAAGCAGCATTAGGCTATCATGAATACAATTAACACAAGAAAGGATAATTTGTAATAAAGAAATGTGTGAAAAGTTGAACAGAATGTATCAATCCACCGTACCCTGGCAACCTGTACCAACTGTCAGGCATAGAAGCCTGCATGCTGATAAATAACACGAGTTAAAAGTAGGCTGCTACTAATTGTAATTACGAGCATTTAAACTGGCAGAAAACTACAGGACGCGAAGCAAAATTGAAAGCAAAGTAGCAGTGGTACAGGGCCATAACAAAATTTCTAAATGTAAACATGCTGGAAACATTTTCTCCTCACCTTGCAACTTTCTCGTCGCAGCCATGGCTATGTAAACATGTGATACAATAATTCATGCATAGTCTAGACGTAATGGAAAAAATACGAAACAATTTTTCGGAACGAATAGTCGTTGAACTATTATTCCCTGTATAATATGGGAGGCTCGGCCACAAGATGGCTTCCGTTTTCAAATGACAACGTCCGACCGTCCGTGAACGAGCTGCGTTGGTACTCGCTCTGTTTTCCCGTCAATCTTTTAACCTTAGCAGTGTACAATATACGCTACGTTTGGTCGAAAATTGACAGCACATAAAAATACACAAAAAGTGATAGCATCAACAAATGATATATATGAAATACTAAATAAATGAGATGGTGTATTATGCATTAGCGCATTCACACATTCTACCTAACGCACATACTTAATATGTCCGTGTTCATAAACCAATCGAAATGTGGTTCAACCTTTTGACGCATTCCCAACAATTATAACGGGTCTGTTATGAACTACCCTGGGAGAGAATACAGTAACTAGATGATTTGCGCGGCTCAACAATCTAGGGAAATTCCTAGCTATGTATGTGAGACATCTTTATAACGTGCTTCTGCTTTCGTGGTCATGTGTAGAGTAAAAAAAATAAACGAACAACGAAAACTGCAGATAATATGCTGTACAAAATAAAAGCAATATACTTCATTTTTTAATGTATTTGTAAAATATATGATTACAGAAAGAGATGCTTCATCTAATGAGCAAAATATATTGTAATCAAGAAGTAAAAATTATAAAACTTCTTGCTCCTTAGGTATACAATTTCGAAGTGGTGAGAGCGCATGTGCGCTGTCACAGATTATATGACATGTAGAAATGCATAGAGGAGATGCGCAGAAAGAGCAAAATTTGTCATCTAGTGTCTTTTGATGTTTTTTTTTCATAAAACAGAGTATACACTGTTTTCGAATCAAAAACACGCATCATCTAGCCAAAACCTGTAATTTTTAGAAAAAATTGTAGATATGAAATTAAATTCAAATTGATAAAGGGCTTTTATGTAAAATATCTAAACCTAAAAAAAAAAGTTTCAATTCTATTTTTCGTAAAATGAATATCGATAGTTTTACTCGTATCGATGGTCGATTCTATTTTGAAATTATAGTGAAACTCCTTCTGAGTGGGAAAATGAAATTATGAATGAAAACAGTATGGAACATCAACATATTTTTAATAATTTTATTACATGATAATATTGATGAACTTATATAAAAAAGCGATGAATTTCAATGAATTTTCTAAGTCAAATTTTAATAAAATTTAAATTTTATACTATCAGCGATACAGATTACCCATGATTTTTCTACGGAATATACATTTCTTTGATTAAGTGCTAAACTGTAGAAAATTTTATCATGCGGAAACACATTTCATTAGCAGATTTTTAGGAGAAATTCATTTGATATTAATTTAAAATACCGATAGCTTGAAGATTATACAATTTATTTTTTTCAACTACCTGTGCATAAAAAATAAAATAAAAGTTTTAACCAATATTTGACATTTGCAGCGGTTAGGTCAGGTTAAGACTCGGAGTGGGGATAACATGGTACTCTTATTCATTCAACAAGAGATCGTACTCATGATTCGACGATTTTTGGTTCTTTTTGCGCATGTTAGCTTTGATTGGTCGAGCATATTTTGTAACCAGGAGCAACGCGCATGCACCCTTAGGGCTTTCGGAACGCTAAGTCTATATAACGAGTGGTCATTCATTTTATATATTATTCAGTCAAATAACAGAATCCTAAAATATCCACATTTCAAAATTTCATCTTTACGAAATCTCAGTCTTTCTAATTACTAAATTTGATAATAGTAACCGTAAGCTACTAGCATTTTACTTCTTCCCATCATTGTTATATTTGTCCACTAGGTATATGACCGATGGAGCGATAAGTGCACAGTAGTGGGACAGCCCTAAATGGTGGGGAATTTACTGAAGTTGGTCGCATTGCGCGAACCGAGTATTATCTCTCGTGGAACGAATAAAACGTTGGGCGTATATGAGTACGTCCACGAGAGATGCCGTCGTTTCGTGTTTCAAGTTTTTGCACGACAGCCGTGGGCCAAGCAACAGCGCACTCGCGTCGAAGTCGGATCACAATCTCCAAGAAAGATTCGAAGTCGTTTACCGATTATCAAAGAATCGAAATACTGAAAACATTCTTTCTCTTGATGATTTTGGCCTAACCTCTTCTACGACAAACCGCACACAGTAGAACATGACGAAAGGTGGCATCACTGGGGACGTGTTGGAAGCACGGACGCAGCCGTGCTCATTGATATGACGCCATTTTACTAACCTTTTCGGCGCGGATCGCGACGATCCACTTAAGGTGCTCCACTTCGTATCGTTTCGAGAGCGTCTAATTGTGTCGATTATATTTTACAAGCTGTGTACGCTCTTTCATAATTTCAAGTGGTTCGTTCAAGCCGGAGTTTACCGAAAGGTACGCAACCCTCGTTGCACTGGGATCATCCTTGTGTGCAACAAAAGCTTACAGCAACATTCTATTGCTGAAACTTGGTACCACGACGTCCTGGTTACGTGTACACGTTCATTGGTCTTATTTTGACATTAGTTTCGTCCTAGTAAACTGATTTTGTGGGAACTTTAAGGCTGAGTCACTGTGGAGTGATGATCACAGCGAAGGGCTTCTTGCATGTCGTACCATGTGCTCAATTTTGTAATACCCTTATCAGAGGTATTATATTAAATGCTTGTTACTTTATCAAGTGTAGTTTAAATATAAAGTTTAGTCTTCTGCGAGTTAATATCAATGCAGTGTGTGATGTTTGTGGTGTGACTTCTAATTTGCTTTTCAAAGCAAAGTATTATGTTTATTTCTTCGAGCTTGTAATGCAAAAGTTTGAATTTCATGTGAAATACCATTTTAAACTTTTATGCACTATAATTGGTATAATAATATTCCAAAAATGAGAAGATTTCTTGATTAAGTTTAATGTAACAGGTGGCTCTGTGTACACATTAATTATAATAGTAATTCTATAATGATGACAATCAGTTTTAATGAAACAACACATTTTTTTTAACTAACATGTATGACAGCTTTCATACTTGATACCATAATGTACTATTATTATAATTTTTATTTAAAATTATTGCAGTGATACATATTATTGATTAAAATATATTAATTTGCAGGACACCTATTTCACGATTATGAAGTTACATTTTATTATTCTGATATTTTTATCACAATTGTTAACTTAACAAATTATTTGATTATTAATTAACATAAATTTTTCCACTGTGCTAAATTGTCTGTGTTAATACATATCTGTATATGTTGCAGGTACTACCGCTGTAGCCAAGCAGTGCTACTATGGAAGATGAAGATGGTGAAAGTAAAGTTATGGATGTGTGGAGCATTTTGGGAAAACAGCAACTTAAAGATAATTCTATTGGAAATTCGTTGAAACCTTCAATTGATAATGTGTACACTGATGTAATAGAAGAGGAGAAACAATTATTGCGGTACAATTCTATTGCAACCAAAGAATCTCCAAGTAAAAATAACAGTACAGGATCAAAGATTGTGTTTAAAGGTTTTAAGAAACGCATTTTGGCACAAGCTCAAGAAATACAAACGAATGCGTCAAAAAGTATAGCACAAGAACAACAAATATCTAATGCATCACCAAAAAGTAGTAAGGAGAAAAAGGCAGAAATCAAGAGAGGCAAAATAACCGAATATGCGCAATATTTGGGTCTTCAACCTTCATCAAAGAATAAGTGTTTAAAGTGTAATTCATCATCTAGTTTGTGTTCTTCATTAAAGCAAAGTTCGTGCACTTGTAATTCTGCCATGACACCAATGCCCAGTACATCAGAATCATCAGCAATGCCACATTCTCCTAATTTTAAAATTACGAGAAAAGTTTATTTGTGTGCAGCCTGTGGCACGTATTTTGAAAATTGGAATTTATTTTTACATATGAGGGATATTCACAAACGGCATATATGTTTATTTTGTCTGGGAATGTTTGGTCAAGCAGAGAGGTTATCGTATCATTTAATAAAAAAGCATAGTGTTCCAGAAATGGCATTCACATCTGTTGAAGATTTCTATGGTGCTTTTAAAGGATCATGTTACTTAGTTTGTTGCACTTGTGAAAAAGTGTTTTCAGAAACGGATAATTTTTATAATCATTTTTGCTCATCAACATCCAAGCAGGATGTTACTGCATCCATATGCACTCTGTGCAGGCAAACAGGATCACATGCAAGTACATGCAGTTTAGCTGTTGATACCAGCAAAGAAGTAAATTCAGCATTACCAGTTAGTGCACAAGCAAGTGTAATACCAACACACTTGCTTGACAAAGCTGTTAGTAGTGGAAATAAAACTGTTTCAAGGAAACTAGTAAAAAATAACAGGTCTAAACATATAGAAGACGGTGTATCTAATCAACAAAAAGTGAACACACATACAAAAAAGACAAATAATAAAATTCCTATATCTCAACCAAATGAAAATCAACTATCGGATGAAACCTTAAATAGAGATGAAAACTCTCAAAACGAAGTTACGCATAACGTGGTTAGAGATACTGTATTAGAAACAATAATGGAAGTTTCAAAATACACTGAAGATTCTAATGATGCGAAAGAAGAAGCAAATGAAAACGCGAGTTGTCTAAGATCTTCTGAATTGATGCCATCAACTGATATGATTAGCCATAATATGCCATATGATAGCGTAACTGAGACCATTATGGAGGTATCACGGTGTACAAACAGCATAGAAGATTCTGGTGATACATCTAAAAGAGAGGATGTAGATTCTGTTGATATGTTGGACGTGTCTGACAAAACAGTAACAGACTTTGATGAAACAGGAAAAGAAAGCACAGAATCTCTGAGTCCCATAGAAGAAGCTAATACAACAAATGAATCTAATTCGACGCATCAAGAAACAGAAGAAAGTGTACATAAAAATGAATCATTAGAGATAGCAGAAACGAACGGCGATTCTCTTTCTCAGGTATCGAAAAGTCCTGTTCACAGTCCTGTCAGGTCGTTGTTTAGCCCGCAACACGAATCACAAGTATCAGATTTACAGAAAGAAAATACCTGCGAGAACGAGAATAAAGAAAATCTTGATGTACCTAGCGAATGTCAACCTACGGTGACGTTTAATGCCACTGAAACTTCCGACAGAAGTTTAGTTATAAAAATATGTACTAACAAGAACTCTCAGTTTTCAGTTGCGACAAAAAGCGGAGACGCCGAGAATGACGAAATTAACAATAAATCCGAGGAGAACAATAACGCAGATAGTTCGACGACAGAAGAAAAGCAATCCAACGTTTCTGAAAATGATAGGGACAATAATAACAGCTATCAAACGCATAACGGAGATAGTGATTCAGACAGTATGAAGTTAGCAGTGGTAGACAGTAATTCCGAAGGGACAGAAGAAGTCGAAGAAGCTAACGAAACTAAAACGATAGCGGAAGATAAAATCGAGTTTGACATGAACATTGGAAGCGATGAAAACCAAATAGAAATTGCCGAAGAAAAGTCGATAGATGTAAACGAGAATGGCGACCAAGACATTGACGAAGGAGACAAGGAAGTTAGCCAGAACGAGGCAGAGAATATGGATGATACTCAAGTACAACCGAATGATGGCATCATGTTGGCTGGGGAAGATGTTCCTTGTATCGACCTTAACGTGGATGGTATTTTAGATAGCATAGAGATAGAAGATTTATTGAAACGCTGCATAGAAGCAGCCAGTCCCCTCTGTGTCTACTGTAATCACGCACGCCATATAGCAGTTAACGGTAAACAATTAGGATTACACATGCTCGCGGAACACAAATTTCAACCTCAGCATCCTGCTATCATTATCCAAGCGGAGCAGTTTATCGCCAGAGTGAAAAAGTCCCTGGACGAGTTAGATTCTCATTTCTTTAATTTAGATTCTTACAGCAGCACAAACGGTACGTACAACGTTCCAAGCGTCAGGACGTACGAGTGCTTTCATTGTAGGTTTCATTCTGCCATACACAAAGAACTTTACTTGCACAACCGCAAGATGCATCAAAAGACAATCTTAATTTGTATAATGTGTAAATCGACTTTCTATAGTTATAGCGAATTACTTTGTCACCTGTGTCCCGGGACGTACTCTCCGAACATCAACGTGAGGTACAGATGCTGTTTGTGTCCCATGGCGAACTTACCATCCGCGTTTAGGCTGATGGTGCACCTTCGCAAACGGCACCACGCGTGCGACGTCTGTTTGGAGTCCACTGGAAATCAGCAGCGCCTTTCGAACCACGTGTGGAAGCACAAGCTCCATCATTTGTGCTACAGGTGTGGCATCGCCTACAGAAATAAACCGGACATCACGAAACACTTGTTCTGGAAACACGGGACCGAAAGCGTACTCTGCAAGAAATGCCTGCAGAAAAAGTGGCCGCACATTTATCATTTCTGCATACCGCCCACAGCTTTCGTTTGCGAGGAATGTGGGTCCAGCTTTTCTCGAGCCGTAGCCCTGAAGGTGCACAAGAGACTACATTCCGGAGATCATCCGTACAATTGCAGCGAATGTACCGAACGCTTCATATCTCGGAAACTGTTGACCAAGCACGAGAACGCTCACAAAGAACCGCCACCGACTATGGCAAACCTAGCAGATACCATGAGCCAACCACCGATGCTTGACGAAGAAAAATCGGATAAGGAAAAAGCGGTAATAGTGGACAGCAACTCGGCGGCTTCTGAATCCGCAAAGGAGGCCAAGGAACCTGTAAAAAAGGTCGTCGATGTTTACGATTTACCTCCTCTGAATCTTTCTTCAGAAAGCGACACAGATTCCGAGGAAGAAAAGGCGGAGGTCAAAGAACCAGAAGCGAACGAGAAGTCCAAACCGAGCGAGGAGGATACAGCACCTGCCTCGGATCAACCAAATGCAGTCTCTTCCGAACCGTTAGCGGACAGCATAGTGGAGGTCGAGCAGAACGAAGAAGAGAAGGAACAGGGTGCACAAATCATGGATGGTATTTGGGACAATTTCAAATCGTACACAGCCAGTTTGGAAATGAAGGATTCTACGACCAACTTCATCAAAGAAACAGAGCCAGAAACCGACGTGGCGTTCCTCAGAAGCATAGTGTTGGCTGACCACGATTACTGCGTGGTGTGGTCTGAAAAGGAGAAGGATAAAGAATCAGAAACAAAAACGAACGACAAAGAGGAAGTAAATATGAGCGGGGACCAAGATTATTTAAACAAACCTCAGAGGAGTCCGACCGAGAACAACGGGACTCAAAGCGTTGTCGAGGAGGACCCGAACAAGAAGAAGGCTAAGAGTCCGAAGAAGAAGAAGCAGAACGGAAGCACCTCGTCGAGCGATTCGTCCAGCGACAGCGACTCCAGCAGTTGTTCCTGCGGGACGAACTGCAGCTGCAGCAGCTCTTCGTCGGGCAGTTCCTCCAGTTCTAGCAGTAGTTCCGACTCGGACAGCTCCACATCAGAGAACTCTCCGAAGAAACAAGCCGGCCGCAAAGAGCGAAAGAAAGAGAAGGACAACGCGCAAGAGTCAGAAGCAGGTCGTTTAGAGAACAAGGACGTTTCCGCGGATATGGAGAACGGAACAGCGGCAGTTCCGGCAGAGCCAGTTTGTCCGCCACTTCTACTGAGGGAGTCTGATCTGGAGACCGAGGAAACAGAGACGGATGAAGATTTCTACGACGAGCATCCTCAACAGTTGGCCAACAAGTTGCTCGCGGAGAAGCGGAATCAGCTGTTGCTGTTGGCGGCGGTGGCCCCGGCGTCCGCCGAGTCGGCGATGCCGTTGAACAACGGCCTAACGGACGCGGACACCGCGATACCGTCACCGGACCAGATGTCCACGACGGAGGAGCAGACGCAGCAGAAGAAGAAGGTGAAGACGAAGAAGCGGAAAAAGGGCGAGAGGGCAAAGCAACGGGACGCGGCGCCAGCCGTCGAGTCCATCAAACTAAACATTCCTAAAGCGTTTTACCAAAAGAACCCTAGTTACTCGGCCTCGTCGCCGACGCTGATGCAGCAAACCCTGGGTGTATCGAACGACGTGCACCTGGCGAACGCGTCCGTCGAGTCCCAGGCAGTCATGACGGGTCAGAACATCGGCGGCAGCGGCTCCGAGGCGGAGAACAAGCGTTCGTCGAAGAGGAAACGAGTGCCCAAAAGGTTCTACGGCGACTCCAGCGACGACGAGGTGGAGAAGCAGCCGGTGACGAAGTGGAGGAAGGCGGAGACGCCTTCTTTCGTGACGGCACCTAGTCTGAAGCCGTTGCCCTCCAGGCTGACCTTCGGGGGCAAGTCCGTGGCGTACAGGCCGGCGATACAGGAGACCCAGCCGGAGAGTCTGAGCCTCGCCACGGCGTCCGCCACCGAGTCGGAGGAGCCGGCTGAAAGCAGCAGCGATTCCAGCGACTCCGAAGTGGAAGCCAGCCAACAGATGCAGACGCATCTGGTGAAGAACCCGTCAGTGCCGGAACGGCCGGTTAATTTGTACTGTTACTGTCAGTGTCCGTACGACGAGGTGTCGGAGATGATTGCCTGCGATGCTGAAGACTGTCGCATCGAGTGGTTTCATTTCGAGTGTGTTGGCATCATGGTACCACCTAAGGGCAAGTGGTATTGTCCGGACTGTCGGAAAAAGCACGGTATCGTGCAGAACAGCGAGGACTATTTTGACTGATAGCAGCGGATGGTGTCCGCTTGTTGAATTTGCTGTTTAGGCGTACTTGAGGATGGACGTGTAATTGTCTCTCCCTCTTTATTTCTTACCAAATCTGGGAAGCTTTATTTGAAAAGCGGTGAAGGTTCAATAGTATTAGGTGCACTATGAATTTGCTGATTTTGTCTGTGTTTAGAATATCGTTACATAGCACATTTGTGTCAAGTTGTTACTTCTCCTTTTCAAAGTTGGTAATTTAATATGGTACCTAATACAGTTTTATTGTTTATAGTCATGGGAATAAAATCTACTTAAATATTTTTAGTGAAATTTTGGAATCGTAGATTCTATTAATACTTGACTATCGTAATTCTCTTTACGTGAACCATTGCTCCATTTTAACTTCTTTTATGCGTTCTCCACAGTACTGGAGAGAAATAAACAGAATTATAAATTTCTCGAAGTTAAATTACTTTTATGTTTCAGATATTTGTTTGAGAGATCATTATATTTTGGCAGCAAAAATTCAGCTGTTTTTAGGGAAATGCAGCATGCAATGAAAACTTTTTAGCCTATATTGAACTACTTATGTTTTATGTTTTGTAGCATGAAAACATCTGAAAAGTGCAAGTGATTTCTCAGCCTAGATACAAGAACGAAAAATTGAAAAGGTTCTTAACTAGTATAATTACTGTTGCAAGTAGTCAATAATTTATTTAAAGTAAAATAGGGCAAGTGAAAATTTAAAAGATAAAATTCTTCCAGTGGATTTATTGTAAGAATAAAATTAAAGCTGTGATTAAGAAACTTCTTGAATTTTTCAGATCTGAGCTAAGAAATCATTTATGTTAATTATGCAATTTTTTAAACTTATAAGTAGTTTAATAAAACTGAAAAAAATTTATCACATGCTGAGAAGAATCCAAAGTAGAATGACCTCTTAACATAAATTGTTCAAGCGATTATAATCTTCGCTTCAATATTAGCAGAAATATTACAGCAGAGCATTTTATTCACAGAAAAATTTGATATTCTAATTTTGTTTAGATACGCACGTTATCCGAAAGAGAAAAGAGGGAGAGAGAATTAAACGATCACGATAATTCCCAGCGTTTTCTTTCTTTCTTCTTGGTAAACAAAACGAATCAATCATACGCTGTTCCATGTTAATATTTTTCTTAAGCCGATACGAGAACGGAGAATGTTTGTATATAACTTGTAAATACGCCTTAGAGTTTATAACAGTGAAGTAAGGTTTTTTGTGTACATTTGTTTGTACTTCTTTTAAAAACGACGAAAAAAGATAAGTGCGCGGTGTATAAATTGATTAGTGGTAGCCGTTAGGCCAAGCATAGCGTTCTAGAAGTCAAATCTAGGCTACGTCGTAGAGCGAGATATTGTTCAAGCCTAGCACCAGAGGGGAGGGCTGTGTTTTTATCAATTCGAAATCGCGATATCGCGGCTGATACGACTGTCGGCACTGCTGGCGGTGTCTGTGCCCCCGTTTGATGATCGTTACCCTTCGATGATCTTCGCTTTTAACACATTGACTGCCATATAAGATTCTCTCCTTTAAAATATTTTACTTCTTTCAATCTAACTTATTAAATTCTTGCTCGTGTACACACTTTAAAAATATAGTTTTCCCAAGTAGCAGACATTGTTGCTATATGCTTCCTAATTATTAAATAATTTCATTGTTAAAAATCTTAACAAATTTCTAAATTTGAAAACCAAGATATTGTACATTTTTAAACTTCAATAATTTGCAAATTCACTGTGGTAAAACTTGTTAAGCTTCGCTCAATTTATGTGTCACAAATTGTTCTCACCAATGTGCAATAAATTAATCAAAAAAATGGCATGAAAATACAAAAAAGATTTGTAAATAATCCTTGGATAATTTTAATCTTAACAATGGCAGTCAACGTGTTAATTGTCTCGATACATTTCCCAAAGCTTTCTTCGCGACTTTGTTCCTCTTTCCTAGCCAATTCTTTTTAACGCTTGAACCTTTGAAATTTCTTTTAGAATTGTTAAAGTTATTCTTCCTTCGTTCCTCTTCTTTCTTGTCTCTTTTTACCGCTTGTTTTAGTGTAATCGACGAGTTAACCAGCAGATCTTTTATCGTTTCCTTTTTTCTAGTCTAGTTTGCTTAGTCTATGTAGTTCGTTTGCGACTGCTCTATCGCCAACCGTAGTTGAAATTTTGATACGTACGATTTCGATGTGATATTTAGCGAACATATTTATATAAATTTCGATTAAAAGCGAACAACGTTTGTACAATGTTCTGTCATCAATTTTGTTGCTTGTTTTTGTTTGATCTTCGAACGATAGTCGACTGCTGCTGAGCTCGTACCACAATTGGCTGAAACAATGAAATTCGTTTAAAAACGAGAAGGAAGGATCTGATCTAGGAATAATTCGTTTTACCGATCGAAATGCGGTTGTTAAACTTCGAAATTGGGTCTGTCAGTCGTTGAGTTTTCTTTTTCCTTTTTCTCCATTTTTTTTATTTAAGCTTCAAGCAACAAACGAAACAGATAAATACGTTATAGTGTTCGTACATGTTTAATAGAACTCGCAAGTACATTGTAACGATAATAATAATTAATGATAATGATAATAACGATAATAATAATAATAATAATTAATAATCGACATTAACGTGCCAGCAATGCAAGTAATGACACAGATTACTTAATCATCGTCAGCCCTCGTTTCCTCCGGCGACTCGATACCCATGATGTCCGCGATGAAATCTTTGTAAGATATCTTCTGTATTATAAAACAATAATACATTACTTTCGGCGAGCCTAAAACGATCAATCTTCTTTTTCATTAATTATGACCCACTGATACTTTTCCCTTGGTGCATACGGTGCACTAATTCGTGTTAACTTTTATCAATATTTTCTTGGAAAATACTAACTATTCATTCCCCCATATTATTAAAGAGAATTATATCTTTCACTGAAGTCGATAAAATTTAATTGGATAATTTTAATTATAGAAAGACCTGTGGTAAGAATGAGAATTCCACCGACGGTGCTCGCGCATCATTTCGAAGATACATGTCTTCCATATGATCATCGGAAGTCATCAAAAATTTCAAAAATATAAATGCCTCATAAGGTGTCAATGGCTCTCCTACAAAAGTAGTTCATTTTAATTTTTTAAAATTTAGCAAATTTCTGTGGTGTAGCCTTAATAAAAATTGAGGGGGAATACACTGACCAAAAAGATCGTTATCATCTTTCACAATTCCGTCAGGGCCTTCGCCAAACAGTATTTTCATAAACTGTCCTCGAGACAAGGCCGCGTTCTCATCGTGGAAAAACACATTTTCATGTGGATTCGCAAAAGTTTGAAAAGCTTCCTGTAACTGGCGCATAGAAATTCCTGCAGCTGGTCGGTGGTTTATATAAAACTTCACGAAGTCCTCAAACGTGATCTCTTCAACCATTTGACCGGTGTTCGCGTAATTCTTGTAGGAAATCTCTGCCAAGAGGAGCTCTATCTGAAACGTTAACAATTTTCATTTCTCCTTTAAAATTATAATTTTGGATAATTTGAAAAACAAGACGGTATGAAATCAAAGAAGATTACTTCTTCATTGCTAGGATAATAACCAACGGCACGCATCAGATTCGGTATCTGTTTGATGGATACTTTCTCAGATACAATTCTAGTGGCTGTAGTGTTTTCTCCCTGTTGCAATATTTGGGCGTAGTAGAAAAGGTCTCTCATTTCGTTAAAAAGCCAACCCTTTTTACCGCCTTGAATCAGACAATAATATGGATCGAGTCCTTCACCACCCAAGTGTGCTATTACGTCAACGGCTCTGAAAAAAATATTAACTGAAGTTGATTTAATTCATGGGAAGTTATGACTTTTACCTGCATTTTATTTTCCACATTAACACACACGGATCATTGTCGCCAGAAGTGAACAATATGCTACCATCGTTGTTAGTACAAAGATTAGTAATCTAAAAATTAGAAGTAAGAAGTTGTGTCCATCATAAACTTCAATCATTTATGTGATTCTAAATTGAAGCAGATTCGTTACCTTTCGTGGATGGCCTATCATTCCCAAAATCTTATAAGGATTACCGTCGAAAGGATATATTTGGAGACCGATTTCTCTTTCGGTCGCAAACACCATATAACCTCCACCTTTAAGCTCTTTGGTAGGTAATACCTACAAATATTATTTTTGTCTTCTCTTTTCATTCGTAGTCGTTTTAGAAGCAAGGTTACCTTCAAGTACCGAACTGGAGTATTAAAAAGAGGTCCCAAGAATGTTCCTCGGTTCATTTTGGTGACGTCGTTCAGCAGCTTGTACTTGAACTAATTAATTCGAGCTAGCAACTTGTACTTGAATATTGCAAACATTTTTTGGAATAAATAATTAGCGATTACCTCCGAATTGGAAATCATTAAAAATCTTTCAACACCCAACTCAGGGTACCAGTTAAGGCAAAGGGGTGTTGCAGTATACTCGATTTTATGGATTTCAGCTATCAGTAAACCAGGGTCAGGATATGGACCACTACAAAAATATTAACACTGTTTATAAGTCTGAATAATATTTTCATAAATCTTGTAAATTAATTCTCTTGTAATTATCAATCACACCTTTCTTTAAGATTGTACTCGATTAAATTCTGATCTTCCCCTAATGAAAACAATCGCGGTACACCGCTGCTGGAAGTAGCTGGTCCAAAAAGTAAGTCTCTTACGTCTGCATGATGGACATGATATTTTCCAAGGAAATCATATATGTAGTTAAAATACGTTGCGTGATTCTTTTTGAAAACTGCTACCACCAATGTGTTATCCTAAACAACGTAAAGAAAGAACAGATTCCGTAGCCTGACATAGTCCTCTGCTTCTTCGTAGTCCTAACATTATTCCACGAATTTATAAATGGAAGTTTTACCGAATAAGCCATGTATTCTCCGCATTCTGTGAAAACCAATTTTTGTATAGATTCCGAGGAATGCTTGTAAGGATTTCGGTCAAGTGGATCCAGAGTGACGGGATGCAACATCCACAAGGTTCCATTTTCAAGGCCACAAGCGAGTAGGTCACCTAAATAAAATACTTTTGTTAGCACCTAATCGTAACCACAAAATAGAAAATACTTGCCTACTGGCGAATATTTCAGTACTGTAACCGCAGTTGCTTTCTCGTTGATCTGTGGACACGTGAAGTAAATTATATTGCCCCATTTCACTTGTATGTCAAACAACAAATTGAAGTCTGGAAGAGGAGGAGACTTTCGGGATACGATAAGCTTGCACTTCTTGTAATCGTATAGTGTTATTGCACCATGAATATTTCCGGTGACTATGAAGTCACTTCAACAAAATGAATCGTTAAGACGCGTTAAAAGAATTATGTAAATTATAAGAAAATTCTGAATACCTTCGCGGATGCGTATCTAAACTGGTAATTGGTCCGCTCACGTGTCGGAAAATAAAATTGCACTTTAATTCGGGGATGTCAATTAGTGCAACTGTTCCATTTAATGAACCTATGAATATTATCAGTTTAAAATAAAATAAAATATAAATTAATCTTGATGCAATCAAATATTACTGACTGACAATAAAATGGCTGGTGTAAAATGGAGCACCCTCAAGAGTAGCATCTGTAGGTCCGGTAGGTCTCCTAAACTTCTTTTTGCCTTTATTATGATCCTTGAACGTGGTTTCCATGTTGATACTCATCGAAGAGGAAACTTCATCCGCTTCTATCGATTGTAGTTTTCTTAAATATTTTATTTTCTCGTCGCAGATGGGCTCTTGTAATTTACTTTCGGAGAGAATCTCAAGTTCTCCTTCATATTCTATATGTTCTTCATCGCTAAATTCGACTGTAAGATAAGATATACTGTTGATAGATATTATTCTGAATAGGAAAGAAACATTAACTTTTTTATAGATAAGAATATTTACGTTCAGATTCGCTGACTATGGATACAGGACCCAGTAATGAGGATCTCAGTTCGAAACTAATCGACGTGATGCAGTTCATATAAGGATTTTGATAGGAGTAAAGTATTCTCAAGTCGAGACCGTAGAAACAAATTCGACCCTCCGCCGTACCGAGAACTACCAGACTAAAATAGTAAATTATACAGCTTGATTCAGTAGAACACAGAATTATTTTATAGAGGAAAAAGTGAAGTACTCGTCGTGATGTACTAGGACGGTAATACTGCATTTATGGAGCTGTACGGATTTGAGGTGTTTCCTTTCAGTAATATCTGCGCCCGCAGCCATACTCCAGACCATAACGTATCCTAAACGTATCCACAATAATAAAACTACGAACGGCAATATAACGAGTCCGCTCTAATAATAATACCGTATGTCGTTCCAGTTAGTACTTGCTGTTTCTTCAGCACGTAAGTAGAACTATTGAAGACTCCATACCGTTGTATGTTACCCAAAATTTGTGGGTAGTAACAGCGCAGTTTGTTATCTTCCTAATTCAACAAAATCTGTACTTAGATGCATCACAGATTCGTATAAAAAATACGAACCCACTTGCAGAATATAATATTGTAATCAGCAGTTAGAGCAAATTCTTCCGAAACTTCGTCGTTGAAGGCTACGGTCTTTGCTCTGTCCGTAACAGTTTCTGTTAACTCCAGAACGCCTGCAAAATTATTTTTAATACTTCCAAAAATAATTTAGAAAGACATTAATTTTAATAATACGATATGTGATACTAGAAAATATTAAATAAAATTCATGACAAGTAATTAAAACGATTAACCGTCAGGTTCGTCTTTCCCGTACGTCCACAGCCAAAAATGGACTCTTTGCTGTATTTCATTTCCAACGGTCACTATATATTTAGCGTTTGGACTGATTCTTGCTGCGGTCATCGCGTATTTGCCGTGTGGATTAAATAAAGTGCAAACTGGTACACTAAAAAATATTTGAAATCAATTATGGCGCCGTTTTACCATTGTAGTGTGGTAAGAAAGGAAATTTCTTTACCCAGTTTCAGTATCCCAGACAACAAGCACGCAGTCCTCTCCAAAACCTGCTGACAGAAGCCATTTTCCATCTACTGAAGCTGTTATTCTTTTCACTGCATTTTGCTGTGAAACATGTATTATTAATCCTTTTGCTATAAGAGTCACATTACCTACTCTTAAATAATTTTACATTAAAATAAGATAAAAAAGAAACCTACATGTCCTTGAAGGTTAACCACTTCCTTCGTAACGTAGTTGTAGATTATTACAGTATGGGAGCAGGCATATGCAATGATCGTTCGATTTTGGGTAGTTAAATTTATTACTGGCACTTCCGAATTTAAACCAAAGGACCATAGTAATTTCTATAAGTGTAATCAAATCGTTAGATCGATTCAGAACTGCTTTGATTACAAAATTAATGTATGCATTAAATAAAATTGTAAATTGCTTACAAAAGGGCAAAGACTGGATTCTTCTTTCCCCTTTAAATCTTTATTCGTATCATCTTCTTTTTGAGAATCTGACGATTCTGTTGAGGCAGATGCTACCGAAATATTCGATGACATTTTGGTAACCTGTATATCATGTAATATTTATAATCTGAAATTAGCAAATGATAATTCAGCGTTCTTATTTTTAATAAACTAAAAATTTACGAATGTTTTGGAAATTTGGTAATTGGATCATTAAACAAGTTTTAGTATGAATTACTTGAGGTATCCTACGTTCTATATCCCCTACATTACCCTATCCATATTTTATAAGCATTCGATCGAATTGTTACAAATTCTGTCAGATTTACGTGCATAAATACATCAAGTATTGCATAAATAATTTCTCGGTTTTGATTCGATTAAAAATTTAAATAGTGCCATCTATTGCATATCGTTCGCAACTTCTTTCGTGATGCCATGTTAAAGGCGAGGGCGCGATAATGTAAATGCTAAATTCCCACCAGTTCCACCATAAAATTGGTATACATTCAATAAATCAAAATGGAAAAGGATGTGTGTTAAAATAAAATACACAACTTCGTTCAAAGCTTATTTATTTTTGCTCGGATGTATACATGAGAATATATTGACATCTGAAAAATTATATTTATAAAAATTGCTATAAGTACAACAACGTGATTAGATTCTACAGGAAGCAAATGTTGCTATACATTGCTCTACAAATTCCGAGTTTGAAATACTGAAATATCTTGATAATTCTCCTCTTCGTACATCGTAAAAAAATATTTCTCGTTTGAAAGGGCTCCGCTCGGAAAATTAGTTCCGAAACAAACGATCGATGCCATAAGCACAAAAAATGTGTGCTGCCAATCACACTTAAAATTATTCAAAAACGTCGGCAACGCAACGAGCCTAAAGTTGCGTGTACCTTAACTGCAACAACTTTGCGGCTTAGGATCAAGCCCAGAACGTTTAGTAATAGATATACGCGTGAATTCTTCTGCAACCGTTGGGTGGATACCAACAGTCTCTTTCAGTTTTGGGAATGTTAAATTGCACCTGCAAGAAGGTTATAAAGTTCAAAAATAAATAACAACAAATTAAGAATTAATATTCAACAAATTAAATTGATACATACTTAACAGCGGCAGCAAAGCCTTGAATAATTTCACCGGCATTAGGACCAATGAAATGCATACCAAGGACTTTTTGATCGCCGCCCCTTAATGCGACAACCTTTAAATAACAATGAGAGACATCTTTCTGGGGAATGAAAAATTCTGTCGGTTTATAATACGCGTGAAAAATTTCTATCTTGTCCTCTCCGTGAATTGCAATCGCAGCCTCTTCGCTGAGACCTACACAGCCATATTCTAAAGGACTGAATACTGTCGTGGCTACATTAGTGTAATCCATTTGTTCCGTCGAGTTTCCAAATAATCTTCTTGCCAATAATCGACCAGCGTGTATGGCTACAGGTGTTAGCTCTGGCTTTTTCTAAATTACGGACAAAACATTATAAGCACCTACCCATACAGGTTTAACATATATAAAATAAAGTTTTAAAACGATGGTTCTAAATATAAAACCTACATGAAGAACATCTCCAACAGCATATATATTTGGAACGTTAGTTTGTTCATCTATCGCGTCTATTTTGTAAGTGTCTGGAACAAGTTTAAGGCCAACATTTTCAGGCTTCAATTCTTCTGTGAGTGGTTTACGACCGATAGCAAACAGAACAGTATCATATGTATCTTGATGAATTTTTCCATCCTAAAATAAAGAAGAGAAACTTGTTACATAAATATCTAGTACTTTTTTTCCACTTGAATTTCGAAACATACTTTATCAACCCAATCGACAAGGAGTCGTCCATCGCTCTGCTTTTCAATCTTTTTCGGCTTAGCTTCATAAATGAAATGGACACCGCGTCTCTCCATTTCTGCGGCAACAATGTTCGCCATTTGCTGATCGAATCCTCGCAAAATAATGGAACGTACCATTACTGTAGCATCGTAACCTAAACCATTCAAGAATCCAGCACATTCCAAACCAATATCTACATGTATTCGTTAAGGAAAATTAAATTTTACGTAAAATCGATGATTTATGAAACATTTAACAATAAAGACTGTATTTCGTAGGCTAGATAAAATTATCTATAATTATACACTTTTGTGTAATAATCGATGTTCTGTCGCAATTGCCCGGTCAGAGTTCAACTAGCAAAAACGCACTTTTTCTTAAGCAAACTTATCTTTTCTTATTAAAAGCATGATTATATTAAATGATGAAAAATCCATATGAGTAACTGTTATAAAGAAAGGATACATCCAGCACCAACAACTAGCGTTTTTCCTGGAGGTTTTTCCAAGCTGAAGATGTCATCACTACTAATACCATATTCCAAAGCACCAGGAATATCAGGATATCTTGGCCTGCCTCCTACAGCAACCAAAATGTTTTGTGCTGTATATAATTTTTCCTCTCCATTCTTCATTACTCCACATACTGTATGTTGATCTTTAAAGTATCCAAGTGCATTGATATATTCAACTTTCCTGTGATAACACATAAAAAGAATAGTACAAACAACTTTCAAGTTATACATTTTATAGTCACAATTAAAATAACACTAACTTTGTTCTCAGCTCAACACGTGTAACCCAGTTTACAGATTTTACATGGTTCTGTACAGCAGTTTTTAATGCTTCCCAATCATGCTTAATAGTTTTTGGATCTGGTAATTGCCAACCATAAAATGTGGATTCCTAAAAAAATTAACTTTCTTGAACTTCATGAACAGTGATTACTTGAATAAGAAACTTACATGAACAGCTTCTCCAAGTAAAGCAGCTTGATGCATCAACTTTTTTGGTATACATCCAACATTAACACAAGTACCACCTAATCCCCAGGTTGTACCTCGTGGGGATGGTGTCACAAAATCAAATACAGCAACTTTTGCACCATAATTCACAGCTTCTTTGGCTGCTGCTAAACCCCCTGATCCACCTCCAAGGACAATTAAATCATACGTGTATTTTTGATCCGCTGAAAAAAGAACAAAGACATTAGTAACTCTATAGATCTAAAGTTATCAAATGTAAAAATAGAATTCAGAAACAGAAGTTGCAACTAAGTAGTTCTTGTAAATAGTTAATAGAAGGTGTGTTACATAATGTAAATGCAATTTATCTCTGTTAATAGTTACTAATAGCACTAAAATATGGCATCATTGACACATCTGACATCGTTTCTATAAAGTAAGATTAAGATGTCAAATTGAGATATGAATAAATATCACATTAAAAATGATGACAGGATGAAATGACTCCGCTGTTCCTTGATTTCTGTTTAATGAATTTTCATACTTAGAAATTTAGCAACTCAGAAATTCTGAAATATTCAAATGTATGTTTTATTTCTCTCAAATAGAAAGCAAATGGTAGAAGAATCATACTAATTCAAAGAAAGTATAGTAGCAGAGTGTACACATTCTTCAGTCATTAGAAAGAGGTTATGCGACATTGTTAGTTTTCTGAAATTTCTCACACATAAACGTGACATTACTAAAAAATAAAATCTTCTGTTAGATCATTCACAAATCAGTGAACTTTCCCGACGAATCATTGAATTGCATCATTTATATTGCAACTCGTATCGTAACCTTGCCGGTGTAACTACCGCTTGTCAAGGCACGAAACGTTTACACGCAACGTGGGACTTAAGTCACATTCGCATCAGAATAGTAAGGGATGTTGACACTCACAGCACACGCAGGCCATAGTGGTTCTGCCATTAGGGAACGCGTTACACCTGGACCATGGTAACTCAAGCAATTTAGCATGAGCGGAGCGATATGACACAAGCCTCGCGAGCAGCGTTAACGCCGCCATGACTATTGCTAACCGATCACGGCCACGTGACGTCACCCTGATGACACTCGTGTTTCTCAATATAAGATAATAATTACTGAAAGATTGCAATCGGCTGATGTGTGGCGAACGAGGAAGTTTCTGAGAAACCACGAGAAATTATGAAGTCGATTTTGATTACCGGATGTAACCGTGGACTCGGTCTGGGACTAGTGAAACACCTGGCGAAATTACCGCAACCGCCAGAGAATATTTTCGCGACTTGCCGAGACAGAAGTAAAGCAAAGGTAAGATCGGTTGCACATTAAACGAGAGAGGACCTTACGCAACACCCGGATGCGGTTTAATTCCACTTACCAATCGGTGCCATTTTGATTTTCTTATTATTTTCCAATTCACGTTCCGGAGAAACTTAACGAATGTATTTTCCCGGCGAAGAAATAAATGCTTTTTCGGTACTCCCGATCGAACGATTCGTCGCGATTAAAAGACAAGAGTGAACTGACGCTTGCTTAGTTCGTTTACCGCCATCTGTTATACGGTTCCCACAAGCATGCGAGTTTTAAGTCTGATTTATAGCGACTCATGCAACGAGTGTTGCTCAATTACGCAAGAAAGTATGATGACGTGCAAGTCACCGTACCTTTTCTTATGAAATAAACTCCCACTTTAATTTTGATCAAGAGATCAATACCTCGTACAGACTCTGAATCATTAAGCTTATTTTAAGTCATTCTTTTTTGAAATGTTTCATATCTTGCTGCTCCTATACAAGTTCAAATTTTTTTTATTAATTTGAAATTGAACCTAACTAATAATGTCAATGTCCAAGTGGACATAACCACGTGGGTTTTGAAGTCCGAAAATTTCAAAGCTGGATTTAGCATTTTGGATAATTGGACATTTAGGATTTGGTTGTTCGAAAACCTGAGAATTACAAAACTTAATAACTTTAGACTTTGAAGATTTTGAAATTTAGTAATTTGGAAAATCTTTATAGATCGGACTTCCCCGCCTAATAGCACCAATGCTCGATGGGAATTCGAGAATCACTATCGAAAGCTAGTCACATGAATCGATTATCGAATAATTATTTATGAATTCTTTCAATTAAATGTGACTTGTAGAGACTCGAGGCTCAAGGACGCCTCATTCCATCAGATAATGAGTAATTGGCTGGATTCAAACATTCCTTTAACAATTGCATTCTTCAAAGAAACTTGAATATTGTATGTTTTCTTATAGGAATTAACTGCATTGGCCGAGGCATCGAAGAACATTCATATTATCGAAATAGGTGAGTGTAACATATTGTTATATAATTTCAAATGACTACGCCTTTGTATCTTTATCGCAGAGGATAATCTCTTATGCTCTTCCGTTGATAATGTTTGAAAGTGTCTTGCATTGAATCGAGGATTTTATGAAGTTTTTCTCGATTTATCTAGAAATCAAATAACACTTTCAGAAATGTATGACTTTGTTAAAATATATCGAGACAACTTCTTATGAATCATCTACCCATAATGATTCAGATATTTTAGTTCAAATATTGTTACACATGGTTTTTATTAATTTTTAACTTGTTTATATAAAGATTACAACTCGTAAAAAGTGCGGATACATATTTAGATCTGATTCTCATCATAACTGTATTGATACATTTATAATTATTGTCATAAAATTTTAGATTACAATTGTCTTGTATGTTTTTAGGTAAGGCTTCAAATATTTTTCCCGCCTAGATCCTCCAAAGATAAAAGCTTCGATGGACATGACACAAATACATTTCTTTATCACGATTTTCTCATAATCGAATATTTAAAAAATTACAAAAGTAGAAATGATGGAAAATGTAATGATAATAGGAGAAAATATTTACCTGATGAATCGATTTGTGTTTCTACGAGGTCTGCCGACTTCTGATTTTCTTCGTCGCTATAATCCGAATCCATTGTTTCCGGTTTCTTCCGATAACTAAAGCACCAGCATCTCTTTTTTTTCGAAGTATTTGATTTCATGTTGAAATGAGCAAATTAATGGGAAAACTATTGAAAAATTGACTGAAGAAAAAATCGTACTGTTTACGAAGCGACAATTTGATTGATTATGCTTTCTGTCAGGAAGATGTTGAAATTTCATAGATTGTTCGATACGAGCTTATGGTATCTGATAATATTTTTGTCATCTTAACAGAATGTGAAGTGCTATAATCTTACTTCCTATATTAAGCTCCATATTTAGAAAATATTTTACTTATTGAAAAATTTATAATACGCAGAATATTAATTTTATTTGAAAATACTTACAGTCTCTATCACCCGTCTTGCACAAAAGAATTAAATTTTTGTAAAAATCATACTGCAAAAATTATAAAAAATATGAATTATTTATTCACAAATGTACTCACTGCAATCTGTAATTTATTATAATTTTTACACGTATGAAAAGAGCAAATATGAAAGAACGCAATTGCTCAGTGGAATGTGTTGATTTATTTCATGGAAAGTATTGATCAGAACAGTTGCTATAGTTTAAAAATAAAACAACATTCGGTGTGAAGCAACTATAGTTAATATACCGTAATTTATTTGATTTGCGCGGCATAAAATCCACGTCGGAACGTCAACAATTAAATTCTAGAATATTTTAAAATATTTTAACATGTTTCTACCTACTTCATTCTTTTAACTTAAAGATTTGGTCGAGACGAAAAACTATGACAAGATAGTGCAAGTTGTGAGTGAAAAGGTGGGTCAAGATGGGTTGAATGTTTTATTTAATAATGCTGGGACCAGTTCAAAATTTACGCGACTTGGTTTGGTGAAGGAAGAACAACTTACAGAAACATTTTTTGTAAACACAGTAGTGCCGATTTTGTTATCAAAGGTAATTTTGTTAATTTTAGCGATATGAAGGCAAATACATGAAATAATTCATTTGGTACATTTTAAGGCATTTTTACAATTACTGAAAACAGCAGCTAACAAGTATGAGAACAAATCAGAGATGAACATCCACAGGTCAGCAATTATTAATATGAGTTCCATTCTTGGGAGTATAGGTGACAATACTACGGGTGGATTTTATCCTTACAGATGCAGTAAGGTACATTTATTTAAGTATTAAATCTCCTAAAAACTATGCATGTACAGTTATGAAAGTACTGAATATATTTAGTGATATTTATCTAACTCTTAGGCAGCACTGAATGCAGCAACAAAGTCAATGAGTGTTGATTTCAAGGAAGATGGAATCTTAGTTACTTCTTTACATCCTGGTTGGGTACGTACTGATATGGGTGGAAATAATGCACCCATGGATGTTGATACTAGTATTAGTAACATTATAAATACTCTTAATTCATTAACCGAAAAACACACAGGTTGTTTTATTCAATATGATGGAAAAATTTTGCCTTGGTAAAAGTACTCATTGTTTTTTATATTTACAATTTATTATTTTTAATCCTACCATTTCTGATTTGTAATAGACATTGCTTGTTTTAGCTTGTAATATATAGATTGTATATAACAACATTAAAAAAATGCAAACAGAATTTAATAGAAATATCTAAACCTACATTTTTTATTAATATTATATATTGTAATATTTATGCAGATTTAACATTTAAAATTTTTTGAAAACATAAATGTTTTACTTTGATTAATTACAATAGAGTAAAGGTATTAAAAAAGATGTTCCACATTGTTTCATATTCTTCTGTACAGGCTTTATAACACATAGAAATTATTAAAATAATAGACAAGAATTCATATATACAGTTATAATACAAAAATTATCACTATGAAATGAAATAATTTCTCTTTTTCATTTTGAGAATGCAGATTTTTAGAGATTATAAACACTCACTAAATAAAACCTTTTTTACCCAATAAAGATACATAAATTATAATTTCATTCAAGGTTCTTTTGTGCCTTTTTAAAAACTCGTGTAACTGTTGTTCCAAACATTCGCAATTTTATTGTTTTATTTGTAAGTGTCAAAGCTTATTTTGTACATGTCATGGTGCTATAATGTAACCTGAAGGAATGCTAGTTCGTCTTAAAATATTTAATCATGAAAAATGATGTTTGCAGTATGTACAATGACTTTTAATTATTAAAAAATTATCAAACAAATCATCATGTTTATATACAATTAACATGAAGATAATGGAACATTACAGATAAGTATTTTTAAGATATTCATTTACAGAAAAAACAAATATCTTATTATTCTGTGATCCAATTAATAAAATATCACTTTGTAATATATAAAAATTTGGTGTGTATCTGAGAATTTAAATAATACTGTAATGATATAAAGATAGTTTAGAGAATGTACAATCCGTTTTTAATAATAAATTGCCTTATGCTTTTTTCATTCTCTTGGAAGCAGACTTTGAAACAGACTGAACATTTAACATAAACTTTTATTAAAATATTATCAATCCTAACTTCTAAATTATATCATGAAACTCTGTAATAAATCCATGAATAAAAAAATAAATTTACTACATGTAGTTGAAGTTATTTCATACAATTTCTCTTTCCTTCAATACACAAGAACTTTTACTAAATATATAGTAAAATATAAAATAAAGAAATTTGTTTAACCCATTTCTTCACAGCTATGATTTCAGATAATTTTAGAGTGTGCAAATTTGTAAAAGGTATAAATGATTTCCTAAATATCTCATATTCTGAGTAACAGTCACACAATAAACTTTAATCAGTCTTTAACCTCTTAGGTGCAGGTTCACTATTTTGCGAGTTTGAATCTTCTGAGAATCCCAGATGCGCAGAAAAATCAGTCAGTCCTTGAGAATCACTAACTGTTGAAAAGCCTGATAATCAAAATATTTATATTACAAAATTAAACAATTACAAGTATGATATACTTCACAATCTTTCAAATCTTCAACTCACATGTATTAGAGTCTTCTGTGAGGCCAAAATTGGAATTTGAAGAATCTAATCCACTTTTTCTTGGTAAACCATTTTCTTTATCCGCAACTGTCTTTCCTTTCTTCTTCTAAACAACAAAAAACACATTTTCACTTTTCTTTCATTCAGCTACACATTGTAATATTCCGTTTACCTGATCAAGGGTTGATATAGGCACCCATTTATAAATCTTCATAGTAGTTTCTCCTATAGTAACCCATTTCTTTTCCCTATAAAAGTGTCAGCATGAAAAGCGCATTCATTAAGTCAACACCAAAACAACAGACAGAGAAGCTACCTTATTTACTGTTATTAAAAAAGCAGACATAAAACAGTATTACTCAATCAACACGCATGAAACATTTCAGAACTACACAAGTCTGTTTACAGCTGACATGTGTAATGCAAAATCTCTATTAAACCTTGCAAGTAAGGAAAAGTTTAATCCGTTTTTTAATAGCCATAGAGTTTGACTACATTCTGTTTCTTTTTTATCATATCTTTTGTGAGATCTTTCAACATTTCCTCGTGCATCTATAATATGTTAAGAGATTTACCAATGGCGAACTTTGTCAACGACTTGCATTACACGCTTAATATCATCCTTGGCACGACTACGAGTCTCTGCACGCACTGACCGCGACATCATGTTACGATTTATAAGTCACTATTAACTCAACGCAATTGGAAACACCGGAACATTCGTTGTTGAAGAGGTTAGGAAACTGACAGTGGTTACGGATTTTAACGATATGAACACGTCTTCGAAGCAAGAATGAGAACTACAATAATAACAAGACGATATGTTCGCATGGGAAAATGGGGGCGCGGAGGGAATGGCGGAAACCAGTGGTGCTCATTTTCCAGTAGTACATGTCCTTCTATGTTCTAACTAAAACCACGGTGTAAGAAGAATATAAATATCTTCTCTTCGTCCGCGAATGAAATGAACACAGCGCCTCCTATTAAAAACTATAATTTTTCACTTATAAATTACAAATTTTAGTATATGTGGAAATAGGTTTCTAATTTCAATAAAGTAATACTATTACTGGTAAAATATCAATACACGTTTTCTATATAGTGTGAATATTATCTAACACATAGTAGTAATTAAAGAATATCAGTGCTGCAGTCTAAATTGAAGTACAGACATGCCTGAACCTAATACTACTACTGAAAATGAGGGACCTGAATCAGAAACTAACTTATATAAGGATCAATGGATGGTATGATATCTTATCTTTTTATGTATAATTATAGGTAATTAAATATTAAGTGGGTTTATGGTATGGAAATATTGCTGTAAAGTTATTGTAAACTAATTATAGAAATTTAATTTCATACACTTTTATATACATTTTAGATAAGACCATGTAGCTTCTATAAAAGCGAATACAATGATTGTTCATGCATGCAAGCACGTTTTCATCAATATTTTGTATATGGAGAATATCTAGATTGCACGCAATGGAAGATCGATTATGATAACTGTTACGCATGGGAAAAATACAAGAGCAAAGAAGCATATGTAAGTCAAAAATCAGGTTACTACTAACTCTCTTTAAACAAATTTTACAAATTATAAACATTTTGTACAGGATGAATTAATAAAAAGTGAGAAACAGCATAGAGTAGAACGATTACAAGGTCACTATAATAATGATGTTTGGGAAAGAAGAGAAGGACGGCCAGAAAATTGGAATTGTCCATTACCTGATTGGTTACAAGAAAGAGCTAAAACATCATATTTAACTGTTGCAAAGGAAAAACTGCAAAATGAATTAGAAAAAAAGAAAGAATACAATATTAAAGCAACTTATTGCATTTTAATGTAAGAATTACATTTAAATGTTATAAATATTTGTAAAAAACAAAGCTAAATAATATAAATATGTAAAAAGTAAATATTAAGAAATTATATTTTTTTAAAAAATATTCATGTAATATTTTATTACATATGTCTGTGATAAATGTTGTGAATGATAAAATAATGCAGTCATAAAAATATATTGTCTTTTAATCTCTTCAAAAGTACTGATACATGTGCACATTTATTATTTTTTACATTCAACAATTTATAACCAAATACATAAACCTACTCTTTCCTTGATTATTTCTTTTTTTAAAGTTTAAAAAAAATCAACTTTGCCAAAGAAATTATAGGCGGGCCGAGCTTGGTTATTTAAAAACATTCGTAATGCGGGAATTTCTCTATATTCAAATTGTGTAGTACAGTCGGTAATACAAATTAAATATTTTTAAGCGCATTAAAAGCACAAATCACATAATGAATATAATTGATGTCACTAAAATTAGAAATATACTTATGCTAAAACAACTTTGTAACAGAAATAATAATTACATGTAACAAAGAATGAGCGTAGTAGTGTATGCAATTACAGTACCAAGAACGCAAAGGCCTGTGTGGGACATGCGCAGAACGCCACTCGGTGAATTCCGTTACGCACTTTTTCCTCCATTACGAGAGTCAATCCGCAAGTGGTCAGTGGCAAAAGGAAAGGCAAAAAGCAACGCCGGACCTAAAGAAGCGGGAGAGATAATGTTTTAAACGTCCCGGCAAATTCTCCCCACTTCTTGGAGGGACGCACACAATAGAGGAACGCGTCATTCGATCCGGCCTGTAGTGTTACGTGCGTACGCGACGTTGAATGAGTGACGTAACCTAAATACAAATATCGCCTATCAACGAATAAGATTAATTAGAGCATCGGTTCGTTGAAAAAACGACAGAAACAACATTATAAACACGTTCTTCCTTGTGTTTCCGTGTGCGTTCGTTCTGACTGAACAAAGATTATAACTTGGCGAGTATCGTGTTAACATCTCGTAAACGACCGTGGAGGGTTGTGTTCTTTGTGCTGGAGAAAAGTGCGTGCCGGTCACTTTAATTTTTTTGCAAAGACAGCAAAAGAATGGCGGAAGATTGTACCGATGGTGATTATTTAGGGGCATATAGCCGCTTTTTCACCGAATTCGACAGGATAAAACCGAACGATCAGCTGCCAGTTTCAGTGGCTCCATACAATTTGACCAAGGGCGAGATAGTCGGTGAGGTCGTCAACATAACTCTACAGTACCTCAACAAGACGTAAGTGAATGCACTTTTTAAATGAACAATATTGCGGTATGTCAATGCGTGGGCGGACATCAGATGTGTTTATTCGTTGATAAATTCTATGGCGCCCGGCACCGAATGTAAACAGACACGGTTTATAAGATATATAGATTCTAGTGATACGCTTTAGAAACTCCCTTTCTTCCTTATCTTTAGGCGTGTAAACGAAAAATATTGTTAGTTTTAGATTTAGTAAAGCGTACAGAACTGACGCGTACATGTGAGTCGCCTTTGTGCGAACTTTAAAAAACCGCTCTTTCCCTTTGATAAACAGTGGTTTAAATGAACATAGAACAGGTACATTCAGGTGCAATGTAGGTTTCATTTATCTATGCGTGCTGCGAGTATGAATAGAGGGGGAAATTTTCCACTGTTTACTTTCGATTTTAGTGGAATCTAGGGAAAACCGAAGGTAGAGGCTATGCAACGCAATATAACACGAAAGTATAGAATACGTTGTGATATAATAGCAGTATATCACCTACATTGCACCCAAATGTAAATTAAACATTGTACACATAATTCCAAGGTCCCTTAAATACGAATTTATTTTTGTTTAATATAATTAATAATACAATTTTTGTTTGTGTGCCATATAACACGTGACGGATAATAAAAGTAGGCGGGGCATTATACTGAAAATGACAGTGGGGACATTTGCGATCGATCCACGACTTTTTTCCCTCCGGCAACTGTAGGCATTTTCACGCGCCTTCCGTTCCTACACGATGCTTTTTCGTTACTTAAAAACTGTGCTCTCAAATGATATCATCCAAGAATTATTACAATACAGATATAAATATACGTAGAAGACAAACAGATTGCGCGTTGAAAATTGAATTCATGACGAATGAAATATAAAAATAATTTTTCATCAAAATATAGTCGAGGTTTACGGAATACGCTTAAAATAACGCTTCGCCACTTGGCCACTCTTTTCATGGGTCATTGTCTGAAAATAGAGTTAACACCTGTTCAGTACATAACATTGATACTGCTTTCCGCATTCTCTTCGATTAATGAATTTTTTTAAAGTAATTGTACTTTATTGGAAAAGAATAAAAAAGCTGCACTGGAGTTAGCGAACTGTGTGGTAAATGTACATGTAAATGAAACGTACCAATACCAGACCATCCTCTGTAACATCGTACTTCCGCACCACTTTGGTGTTATCTGGACCGACCGAATGTGTCACTATACTGTCTCCCTCCATTGTGGTTACGTTCTAAACAAAGGCAGACATTCGTATCAATATTTGCACCGATTTTCAAACAATACGATTACGTAAAATGGTGCATAAAGCTACTAACATGTCCTTTTTAAATAAAAATGTATTTAGCGATGATGAATAACAGGAAACAGAAACCGCAAAGAGAGGTGCTTTTTTTGCTTGTGCTAGACAAACACAATGATTGAAAAATATTACGAAACAAATAGTACTTTTAATGTAACTCCGCTAGGCATGTGTTCCTCATATTCTTCGCCGGGAGTGAATACTATTTCTACTGTACGAATCATAGAAATTGTACGAATGGTCCATTTGTCACCGTCGTTTGATATTTCCAGTCGCGGACTGGTCATGCTCATCATTTTCCGTGCAATATATGGCACACCTATGAGTATATTCAATTAAAAATTATATCGATTGTTGAATTACGTATACAAATGAATAATTCACATTTTTTATACTGTATATTTAATATAACTCGGTATTACAGGTGTTTAAATGATCTACTAAGACTGAACATTGAACTGAAGTAAAAATTAAAAATTGTATTTGTTTTTGCTTCCATCGTACGGTTCACCACATTCACTTTCATTTCTTGTCTTCAACATACCCACGGCTTTAAAATATTCGTCGAGATTTTCATTGCGCTCATGTTGATAAGTACCAACGATCGATGACATTTCTTGTCCCAGTCGGTAATGTTCTACGGATGTTACGTTGAGTTTTTCTGGATGCTGTTCCAAAGACTGTAACAAGATCTTTTCTTGATTTATATTACTACGCATGCGCACCGGAAGTTTCGATTCTATTTTATGTAAAACATGCACCTCGTCATTGTTATTTGTGTCCGTAATTTTGATGAAATCGTTATTTAAACCATAATTTTCTTGTTCCGGAGATAACTGTCGATTGCATGTTATTTCTCCTCTCCACAAGCTTTTAAAATCTAAATGTGAATGCGTTATTTTAAGCGGGAAACGTTTGAAACGGTTACCAACTTTTTAACGTTAAAACACACAACATTGCTTACCGCCAAAATCGGGCACTGTTCGAAATAAATTGTAAATAAAAAGTAGATATTCGAGAATAAAGAATAATTTTATATTCAAATATATTTTCGTTAAAAAGAATTAACTCTTCTCGAATATTTTCATTTTATTTTCAAATTTGAATATTCGAATAATGCCAACCCTGTTTACCGCGCTACCAAACCCGCCATTTTCCAAAAATTTATTGTAACGGTTCGTGTTCCAATTGTGTAAAATTAGTGAATATTTAACGCATAAGATATATAACTAAATTTGTATATACACGAGCTTAGTAAAAAATATGTTTGCTGTAAGTTTATAGAAAACTTTTCAATCATAATTAATATCTTTTTTTCACTCCTCCACATAATTATAGATAATCGTCATAAGGTTTGAAATGATTAAAATACATTGAAAATGATTAAACATATTAATTATTGTAAAATAGAAAAAACACAAAATTGAAGATATTATTTATATGTCAATGTGTTTTTAAAGGTTAATTTTAACTAATTGTTATCCTTACGATTGAAAGAATTTTTGAATGAAAAATCCATAGTTGCAATGATAGTAGTATAATTTTCACCATAAAAAGTAAAATTAGAATTCAATGAGTGAACATTTGAATCTGACAAATTAAAATTTGTACATAGTTTACATCATTAAAATGTTTGCTTACTTTTGCTTCAACTATTTCTATAGTTCCTGTGTTCAGAGTTATTTTTATAACATGAAATTTGTTCTGTGTCATAACATTTTAGGCAATGTCCACCAAGTTTGCAAGCACACTTGGTTCATCAAGTAGTACAAGAAATCAGTTCCATGTGCAAAAAACAACCAAAAGATTGTGGATTTAAATGGGAAGATGAAAGTATATGTCTAAATAATAAATTTTTATTTATTTGATTAAAAAAAAGTGTAAATTTTTACAATGTATTTTACTTTGCAGCATATAGTCCATTAAGATTAATGCAAACTGTTATTGCTAAAATTAATGAAATATGTACTCGCTATCTGGACAATAGCAGATTGGCATTATTACCACCCCCTCCTTGCACACCATTGCCACAAGTAGTAGCTGGTGGAAACAAAAATTTTAGAAGATCAATGGAAGATCGTTATGTGGTTTTGCATGATCTTAATGCCACATTTGGTATTCAGGTAATTATTTATGTTAAATATTGTATAAATAATGAACATTCAGGTGTAGAATTTTCAAAATTTTAGGATGACTCTACAGTAAACTACTATGCAGTATTTGATGGGCATGCAGGACAAGGTGCAGCCATTTATTGTGCTAACCATCTTCATCAGTATTTAACAGAGAATATATATTATCCTTCTAATCCAGAGCAAGCCTTATATCAAGCATTTAATATCACAGACACAGAGTTTAAAGAAAAGTACAGGACACAAGTAAGAAACAGATATTTATTTATGATAGCATGTCTTTTGAACAGTACTTTAGATGTTAAAAATATCGTTTTCCAGAAAGTAAATGGTGGGACTACTGCAGTTTGCACTCTAATAGTAGATAAAAAATTGTATGTTGCCTGGGTTGGAGATTCTACAGCTACATTAATAAAACGCGACGATGTCGTTCAATTGGTGAAACCTCACAGACTTCATCGTGAAGTAAGTACTACTATTATGAATATATTTATATTTATGAATTTCTACCATTTATTTAACTTTTACTTCGAATGATATGATCATACAATATTACATGCTTATATTCTTTACAATGTGCTCTCACACGGGTTGTATATACACCTGGGGAAGGTGCTCCTGGGTCTACATTAATCAAATGTCTATCAACACAGTGTTTGAATTGAAGGCCATGTTTTGGGTCTATTATTGGTTGATAATTAGATGTTTCATTTAAACACGTTTTCCCTGTTCTCCAATGATAATATGCTAGATCATTTGCACGTGGCCATATTATTTTCTTTCCTTCGAAATATGGTAGCCAATCTTCCTTCTCAAGTCTTTCACAATAGTCAATGTACCCAGAAATTTCAAATTGAAGCCTTGTAAAATTCCTTATAAATATAATGGTAGATATGATTTTTAATCTGTTTAAATGCTCCCGAAGTGCAAGTTCTTGCATTACTGAATTAGCAGGTGTTATTAATTCTGATGTTAATACATATGGTCTGTAGATTGGAAACAGTAGATCTTTTACAGCTTTCAAACGTTTATAAAATGCTTCTCTGCTCAATGTTTCCCCTGTAGAACGATAGCCAAGCTCAGCTAATTCACGTGCAATGTTAAGATTTCCCAAATAACCAAGATCAACGAATGTAATTAGGGAGTCCAAATATTCTTCATAATTTCCAAATTGCAGTAATCTTCTGTCACTATTAATTTGTGTTCCTAATTCTGTCATTTTTAAATACACTGGATTTAATTATTAATATTTAATAGCAACATGACAAAATTAGATTTAATTATATGCTTTGTCTGACAGAAATATTTGTTTGGTTCAAAAAACAATTGACATTCAGTAGTTATAGTGTGCAAAAAGTTAATGACAAAATGTAAAAATATTATTAATCCATTTTTTTAGGATGAAAGGAGAAGGATAGAAGAAATGGGAGGTATAGTGATGCAAAAAATGGGAATTTTCAGAGTTAATGGAGAGTTAAGCGTGTCTAGAGCAATAGGTAAGTCAATTATATTTTATACTTTTCACAGAGCAAAAAAGATGAATGAGTAATCATGATCAATTACCTCGTAAAGCGTCGTTTAACTGTTAAGAAAAAAGTCATAATACTTTATCACAGTACACATACGGTTCGTTAGCATTCATTATGTAGCTCTTGCTGAAAGTCAAGGTTAATATTTTTATATCAACTTATAAAAGCGCTTCCGAGTAACGCATGCTATTGTGCAATGATAATTATTTTAAAAAGACGAACGAGAAAATAATGAATTTATAAGGCGTGGTCGTATGTTGTCGATATTTACAGATATTTAATAGAATAAATCTGTGTTCTATGTACTCACATTTATCACTGCAAAGCAGATAATTGATAACTGACACTCAAGATTGATTCTATTCGTTTCTGACTTGACACTTTACATTACATACATGTTTATGCCCACCACTCAATGACAAATGTCACTGTTATCTCTAGAGATGCCAGGCGGACGCTAGATGGCGATATATGTGCTGTTTTAGAATGCTAGTGTAGGTGGATGCGATATAGGAATAGAAAGAGAATGTTAAAAGCTTTCTTATTCGGTGACGCATGCGTATTCTGTTGCACGTTGCGCGGTACTGCAGAGGATGTATAAAGTCATTCATTTCATTTAATGTTTCGGTATGAATTTTTTTACACTTTTGAAATAAAATGTAATGGGAGATGAACAGAATTCTTTGGAAGTACTCGTCAACTCGTTCTCGTATCTTTTTAATTATTTTATTGTGTCTGGTTCTTGCAGAGTCGTTTTTGCGGTTTCTGAAACTTGATTCTATTATCACCTGGACAAGCAAGTCTCAAGCTATCTATGCTATAATTAACTGACCGTATATTTTTAATAATAAAGTCAGCACGTTAATTATAAGGTGGAATTAAAAAATGACTTTACATAAAAAAAATTTTAACTGAAAATGAAAGTGTGAAGTATGTACTGGTAGCGTGTTACTAATTTATCAAAGAAATTGAGCGAAAGCGCGAATAGTTTTTCGGCGAAGCCAGATATGTAGATGGTGTGCAAGGTGGCCAACTATGGCTTTAGGTATCGCGGATAAAACGAGGAGAAAAAAATAATTCTGGACGCGTGTCGGGTATCCTGTTGGTTCCGTTCGACCGCTGACACAATAATACGTGCAGCCATGCTTCGAGCAATGCACGCTTTACCCGTGTGCCTTCTACAAATTGCATGCCCGGAATAATTAACAGCCCATTAAGCCGTTTATGCATCGCGAGAAGGCGCGTGTCTCGAAGGGTCGGTCGTTAACTGGAATTTCTCTTCACCGTAACGAAATTTTGATGGCTTCTTATCGATTAATTATACCATCGGTGTAGTTGATGAGTGTTCAATTTCTGTCCAAATATACAAACAATGAGTCAGACTTCTTCAGAAACGATTGTATGTTTGAATGGATAATTAGTTTGACAATATCTCTGATTTCGATTGTGATCAAGTAATATTTTATCTATTTTGCAGGCAATTACATAAATATTTGCATGCAGAAAGGATTTATTTCACAGAACATGAATGTATGGCAAATTGAAAATACGTAAACAATTTCTTATCAGCTAGAACGTTGTGTAAAATTTATTACTGAATCTGATTGTATAAATTATAAAAAGCTTCACGCCCGCCGTGTATAAATTAGAAACAATAGCGAAGTTAGATTCATTATATTAAAGCATTCTCTGGCTTAAACAGCGCGTTTGAATTTCGCGAACAAGAAAACACGCAACACGGTCGTTAATTATCATCAAACGACAAAGAGAAATTGAAAATTGTGCTACTCTTTTCTAGTGTGTTGAACCGAGAAAACTACCTGATAGGATCATAATTAATGATTGTATCGAGGCATGACCTGTTTTGCGAGCAACACACCGTAAAAAATTTGGTCTCTACACTTTCGAGTTCTGATTTATACATCAAACAATGTGTACTGTATAAAAAGAAATGCTCGAAAAGTTAAGCATGAACGATTAAGAAAAGAAAATATTAAGAAAGGCAATTTTTCACGTTGTTTAACACGTTTACGGTACGCTCTCGTTATATGGCCAGCTTTAGATATTTGGTGACAAGGTGACAATATTTTTTTATATTATAAAGTTTTTCATATTTCTAAGTTTCCTATTTTTTATTACAGAAGGTGAGAAAGTGGTGAAAGTTTGCGAAGGTGACGATATAACGAGAGGCTACTGTAATTTATCATATAATTAAGATAGGAATTTATATAATTATGAATTATGGTAATTAAGCTACTATTATGAAATTCGAAGTGGTTGGAAGATTAGATTCGGATAATTTTCTGATAACTTTCCACGTAATTATCTTATCGGTCGCTTTACTTTTTTCTCAAGTTCAAGGTTCTGATGAAAACGACGTGTTCTTAAAATTGTAACAAAAATATCTGTTCAGCTTAAAATAGCTCCAAAGTTAAAAGTCTAAATATATTTTAAAAGACAAAATAACATTACATTGTTACATAAATATACATTATGATTGTTACATTATTACAAAAATATTTTACTCTTTAAAAGTTTGCCTAAAATGGTCAGCAATAGAGACACTTTGAAAAACTTAGCGTAAGGAGGATTTATTGGCAAGAAATATCTAAAAATGACTGTAAGCAAGAGGAAAAAAGAAATAGAACTTCATTCTCCATGACGTGTAATTTTATGGAATTCGAGATAGCTGTTACAGTTATCCAGCACACGTAAGCGATGCTTTTTACATCTGAAAAACACGCGACGGTAGAAGCGTGGGGTGTATTAGTATTCAACTAGACCGTAATTAACTTTAATTATCTATTTAATGAATGGTACAGCTAATTTAAATAATGGCACCGCCGTAACATAGTCGCTTCCGGTTATTATAAATTTACGCGGTTCTTTCCATCATTCTAGTATACTACTATGAATGAAACCGTATACAGTTAAGTGGTAAAACTATACAGAAAATCTACATTTTCTCATCAATTGACACTTAAGCTTCTAATTATGAAATTGAACATTGGTGATTTGGAGATGAAGTTAAAATTGAAGTTTGTATTACAGTTGCAATGGTTACAATGACGATACTTGTAGATGATACTTATATATAATAATTAAATGTTATAATAATTTCTGCAACTATAACAAAATTATTACTGTGTTATTCATGCATCCTCTTCTTCTGTTTCAGGCGATGTTCTTTACAAACCGTTTGTAACCGCCTCTCCAGAAACCAGTTGCGTCACTTTGGACGGCACGGAGGATTTTCTGGTCCTCGCCAGTGATGGATTAACAGATTTTGTACGACCTGCGGAAATTGTAACTATTCTCTACCACGAAATTCGCCGAAATCCGAGTGAGTACTTTTTATCTTCCATAGCTAAACCTAACCCTTTCACTACAGGGGGATCATTAGTTCAGTAGCAATATTAAAAGCATGATTGTTCTTAGAACATTGTGAAAGGGTCAATCTTTTGCCTCACAATTCAGAATCACTCTTGTAACCATAATTTCTAATGGTGATCATTATAGTTTTAATTTAAATGTGCATTTTTAATTGTAGAGTTCTTTTATAATTGTTGAGATGAGGCAGAAGATTAAAGTGGTTATTGGTAATTTATCTCATGAGCATTGTTAAATCTATTGTATAAACAATTGCCTATTAATAGGTATAACAATACAGTTATAACAAAATCAGATAGCATAATACAGTAACATTATATTTGTATAATAATATCATCAAAATATCCATGTATACACTACCTCATATAGTTGAATGATGTTTCATTAGATTTCCTTCTAACCATATTATAATTGAAAGAAATTTAATCAGATGTAATTATAATCATGAAAATGTTTATACAATAAATTTAATTAATGATGCAATTAAATCCTGTAACGTTTACATAATAAGACTGTTAATAATAGTGTAACATATACCAACTTTTTCCTGTTATATATCACGAGAATGTCTTCATTCGATTTAATCAGGAATTTATTTGTAAATCATTATTTGCATTTAATTAAGAAAAATCGTCGAGGAGCGACGAAAAGGAAAATCGTGGCAGGTAACTTATTTTTATACCGGAGAGAAAATCGAGAGAAAATTATGCTGTTCTGTATATCGTCTCTCTCGAATAGCGTGCTTAGTTATGTTCCATTAATTTGCTTGATTTATTGCGTCCAAGATAGGGAGATGGGGTGATTTCCGTATCACGAATGGAACAATCGAAGCGAGTAATTATAGAGCCACGATGAAACAGATCTACTTACGAATTTGAATATTCATCAATTTTTAATTTGGAAATTTTATTCCTTGCTGGTTTTAATGTCTGCAATATTCATTAGCGAAATGGATGGGTATTGGATTATGCCAATTTTGAGTGGTTAGAGGTTGGGGTTGGAGAATTTGGGTAATTGGAAGTTGGTGTATTTGCAAATTTGGGATTTGGGAGATTGGAATTTGGGGATTTGGACACTTGGTAATTGGTATATTTGCAAATTTGGAATTTGGAGATTTGGACACTTGGAAATTGGCATATTTGCAAATTTGGAATTTGGGAAATTGGAATTTGAGAATTTGGGAATTTGGAAATTACTATACTTGCAAATTTGGAATTTAGGAAATTGGAATTTGAGAGTTTGGGCAGTTGGAAATTACCATACTTGCAAATCTGGAATTTGAGAGTTTGGGCACTTGGAAATTGGTATATTTGCAAATTTGGAATTTGAGAATTTGGGCACTTGGAAATTACTATACTTGCAAATTTGGAATTTGAGAGTTTGCGCACTTGGAAATTGGTATATTTGCAAATTTGTAATTTAGAAAATTGGAATTTGAGAATTTGGGCACTTGGAAATTACCATACTTGCAAATTTGGAATTTAGAAAATTGGAATTTGAGAATTTGAGCACTTGGAAATTACCATACTTGCAAATTTGGAATTTGAGAGTTTGGGCACTTGGAAATTACCATACTTGCAAATTTAGGATTTGGGAAATTGGAATCTGAAAATTTGGGCACTTGGCAATTTTCACATTTGCAAAACTTGAACATTTACCAATCCAGGTTGAGTTAATTAATCATAGAAAAATGTACAAACGTTAACCTCCAACAGTCTGTGGAACGGTATAAGTTTTTGTTCACGTCGATCTCTATTCGTGAAATTCTTTCGTTCAATTAGCCTACGAATTACGATTGCTAATCGCGAGGGGAAAGATGAGTGTCCGATAGTTCGAGAAAGTAAGGAGAATGCTGTGTTGCAAAGAATTTCGTGCTGGAAACGACGAATCTTGTAACGATTCGTACTCGTTCGAAGCATGCCAACAAACTGTGTCCAGTCTTTCTTCGTGGCGTTGTCATGCTCTGCTTCTTGTTGCTTCAGGGACGGGGATCGGAATAAATTGCTTGCCTCTCGTTTCGTGAACGTTCTTTTCTCTTTGAAGAAAACTTCTTTGTGGACACGAATTCCTTTTATCATTGTGTATTCTCTTCATTGAACCAATGGTGTCGACATTTTTAGCAATTTTTATATGTAAGGTATATTATGTATCTTATAAGAGTATAACTTGTATGTCTTATACTGTAGCATAACTTATATGTCTTATACTATAGTATAACTTAAATGTCTTATACTATAGCATAACTTATATGTCTTAAAATATAACATAACTTATCATTGATCCAACCATAATCATGTTCTTCTCAACATAACTGGACTTGGTCAAATCATGTCATTTTTCAATACTGATTTAGCAAAACTTTAGCTGAGCTAACTTTGCCTCACTCCCATATCTGAACATTGACTTAATCTAACCTTTGTCCTAATGTAACCTAACCCTGATGTAACTTAACCAAATGCAGTCATGATATAACCTTGACGTAACCTAATATGGACCTTATTTAACGTTGACCAAGTATGTCCTCAACTCAACATCCACATATTTTAATGGCAATCTATTGTAATCTTGATTTATGCTTAATGTAATCAAACCATAGTCCAATCTAATGTTGTCTTCATGTTAACGTAACCCTAAATACATGGACTTGATAGTGTCACTGTAATATCTTCAACTTAACTCAACATCCACATATTTTAATGGCAATCTATTGTAATTTTGATTTATGCTTAATAGAATCAAACCATAGTCTAATCTAATGTTGTCTTCATGTTGATGTAACCCTAAACACATGGACTTGCTAGTGTCACTATAATATCCTCAGCTTAACTCAACATCCACATATTTTAATGGCAGTCTATTGTAATCTTGATCTATGCTTAATGTAATCAAACCATAGTCCATAATCTTGTCTTCACCTAATTCTAAACACATGGACTACTGTTACTACAAATTAACTGGGTTTATCAAAACAGTTTAACAAATTTGAAGAACACCTTATGAGTTATTCCTGTAGTTCTCCTAATAAACCTCCTAACAAACCTTCTCCTAATAAACCTCCTGCTCCAATAAAGTTATATTCCAACCCCAAAAAACAAAACAATTTATTTGAAGAATCCCTTCATGAATTATTCCTATAGTTAAGTTATCGTTTCCTAATAAATCTACCCCAAAAAGTAGAAAATTATATCTTAACCCTAAGAAATAAAACAATTTATCTGAAGAATCTCCTCCAAATAGTTATTTCCTAATAAATTTGTCCTAATAAGTGGAAACTGCTATAAGTAGATATAAGTCGAAAGTTATATTAACGTAACCTAACCCAAAGAAATAACACGAATAACAGCTGTCGTACACGAAAGTCGTGGCAATCGACAATGCATCTAAATATCGAAGGCGTCGAACAACGATGCGTATATCGATGTGCCACGTGGCCGCAACACGCTCCTGCAATTAGGCTCAGGAATCGCCATTGTGTGCAGCTTGACCCCCTCAAATAGAATCTCGACAATGGGAATGCGAGCAATTTGCTCAGAGCAACTGGCCCAATTGCTGTTCGATCAGGGAATTGGACAAACTCCGGTAACGAAATTCTCCAAATGATTCTATGCTTCGTTCCAATTTGCCAGGCAATCGAGCCTCTTTCTTCTGCTTCATTGAACTCCGATATTCAATCATTTCTGTCGACAATATTTAAGTGTGCAAATATTTCTATTAAATGCGAAGATGTCTTAAATTATAACGAGGATGTAATTGATTATTATTTTTATTAGAATCTTTTGGTTATTAGTAATTTTTGTTAATTATTTTGGTTTTTATTGTTATGATGATTTACGTGATTTAGTAGGGTTTTAGCAAATGTTTGCTAGTGGAGTTAAAATTATATAAGAGAGAAAATTCTTGTTACACAAAAAGCAGAATTTCTTTTAAGCTGCGATGTACTTATTTTTGCGGTATGGCCAAATGCAATTACCTACGGTCGAGCTAACGTGATCGTAGGAGAATTTTGATCAGCCATGGAACACTTACTTCTGACTATTTCGCATTTTCTGAGACCCATTAGCTGAATAACACTGTGGCACGATAAGTAACGAAAGCACGTTCCAAACGATTCATCCATTTTTTTCATAGTTTTCCCGAATTCCACATTTTCCGAATTCCAAATTTCCCGAATTTCAAATTTTCCGAATTCCAGATTTCCCGAATTTCAAATTTTCCGAATTCCACATTTCCCGAATTCCAAAATTCTCGAATTCCAAAGTTCCCGAATTCCAATTTTCCCGAATTCCAAATGTCCCAAATTCCACATTTCCCGAATTCCAAATTTCCCGAATTCTAAAGTTTCCGAATTCCAAATTTCCCGAATTCCAAATGCCCCGAATTCCAAAATTCTCGAATTCCAAAGTTCCCGAATTCTAATTTCCCCGAATTCCACATTTCCCGAATTCCAAATGCCCCGAATTCCAAAATACCCGAATTCCAAAATTCTCGAATTCCAAAGTTCCCGAATTCCAAAGTGTCCGAATTCTAATTTCCCCGAATTCCACATTTCCCGAATTCCAAATGTCCCGAATTCCAAAATTCTCGAATTCCAAAGTTCCCGAATTCCAAACTTCCACAATTCCAAATTTCCCGAATTCCAATCTTCCAGAATTCTAAAATTCCCGAATTCCAATTGATAGTTTTGGAAAATTGTTATGTTACCATATGTACCACCCACGAAAATTTCACTGTCACCGCTACAACACGTCATGTATAAAAAATAGTCTTGGGTCACGCAAATTATTATTGAATACATTGATAACGATATAATCTTGATAATATAATGTCGATAACAATACAAAGCAAAGGAAATACAAGATATTAGCACGTGTTAGTAATCTTTCATTACAGTAACAGTATATCATGCCACTCTCTAATAAATGTACAGTTCTGTATAAATATAATAAATTCACA